TACTTGCTTTATCTCCTCGGCTTTGTGAAGATTTACAATTTGCGTAAAACATGCCGCGTTTTTTTCAGGATCCGCACGTAAAAACTCCTGCCCGAATAGGCCTCCATTGGGGACGTACCAAAACCTTACAGAAGAACAAAGTAAAGAGAGTACTTCTTTACTTTGTTCTTCTGTGAGGACTTTTCCCTTTCACCTGGTTTTGTAACCGCGGCTTACACTCACAATTGGTAAAGCGCTTTCGGTGCTGCCAATTATTAAGATGTCTTTTGGCAGTTGTTATCAATAGCAGCCATCTTGTTTTCCACGTTTTCCCATAAAAATTACCAGTAAAATATTACTGAGAACTCAGTTTCTGTCCAAGAGTTTTTAATGCCTTGTCCTCTTATGCCTAAAAAGCTTAAATATACATGTTACAACCACAATTGGCGCAACCGCAACACTCGAGACTTGTTTACAATGCACGTCAGATTCAATATAATCCAATCACTATTGTTATTGCTTGCACTGTTGTGGTTTCCTAACCGACATGGGCTGAAAATTGTACGACAAATTGTCGTAAATAAAATTGTCGTTTTTCAGCGTTTTAGCGTGCACTATCCTGTGTTATTAGGACATTTTACACACATAAATTGCGCGCGGACAAACACCCAGATGCGAAACGACTATCTGTGGGTCACAACAATTGCGTTCCTTGTGGGGATCGAACTCTCGACGCCCGACGCCGAAGCCTTGGCAACCGCGCAAACGTTGTGACAGTAGTAAGGTGGCAATTTTTATAGAAGGGAAGACTACAATAGATATTTCTAGATCGCAGTCGTCGGGATTTACTACGCAACACCTTCCACACAAAATAGAAAATATTCTGCGATGACACCGCATTATATTATATTATCACTACATAGTATAAAACAAAGTCCTCCCGCTGTTTGTCTGTCCCTATGTGTGCTTAGATCTTAAAACTACGTAACGGATCTTGATTTTTTTACTAGATAGAGTGATTCAAGAGGAATGTTCATATGTATATACCGTGCGAAGCCGGGGCCGGTCGCTAGTTAATGTTTAAGACACTAATGTTTGTTAGTCAATACGGGGCATGCATGCAGGAACAATGCGTTTTACAACGGTTACATTAGGTTTTACGTAAACTGTTACGCGAACGAATATAGATAATTAAATACCGAGTACTTTACGTGAGATTCTGCTAGGAGAGACATGTTTATACACCTCTTGAGACACTCGAAAAGGTTTACAACGAATTACGACAGTGCCTCTTAGTTTCTATTTATTCATTTACTAGCTGTGCCCGCGATTTCGTCTGCGTGGAATTCAAAATAAATAAAATTTCTAGAATAAAAGTAGCCTAAGTTACTCCTTATTACATCAGCTATCTGCCAGCGGAAGTCCCATCAAAATCGGTCCTGCCATTTCAGAGATTAGCCGGAACAAACAGACAAACAGACAGACAAAAATTGTAAAAAAATGTTATTTTGGTATATGTACCGTGAATACATCCATATGCATTTAGTAAAAAGCGGTTATTTCAATATTACAAACAGACACTCCAATTTTATTTATGTGTATAGATTTATAACACACACGCGCAAACAAACACCAAGATCGAACCCACACCAACACAACTTCACCAAATACACCATGTATGCTATAATGCCTTTAAAATTGTTTCAAGGAGTTTTGGTCAACTTCTCAAATTGCTTTGCTAACTTAGATAGTCAGGACAGTTACAAGCTTAAAATGTGTGTTATATAGTGTTTTTCTGGTATGCACATAAATGTATTAAACGTATTTTTTTACAAACTAAAAGTATGCCTCAGTTCGTTAATAGTAGGCCGGTACCTATAACCCTAGATTTGCAGTTTGGGATTGTTAACTTCTTAAAAATATGTCCTGAAACATTCATTTATCTACATATACTTTACAGAGTGAATGATCACGGGGCATTCTGTACTATTTTATTTAACCTTCACATCTCAGTATTAACAGAAGAAAATATTAAAATAAATAAATAAATATTTTAGGACACATTCTTTTTACACAACGTTCTCTAGTCCCAAACTAAGCAATGCTTGTACTATGGGTACTAAAAAACTGTTAGACATACTTAACCATACTTTTCTTTTTGTAAATAAATACACATTATACATATAAAAACACCCAGTCACTAGAAAAACACTATGCTCATCACACAATATTTTTCCAGTAGTGGGGATCGAACCCACACCCTCTGGCGCAGAAGGCAGGTACACTACCGACTACGCCATTCGGGTCGTCAATATTACCAATGAACTCTTAAGTACTTTGGTAGTTTATGACGTCATTGGGATCACTGGGTCATGTAAGATTAACATTTATTTCCACTTCAATCAATAATTGATACAGTATCGTAAACCCTGCGGATGCTTTACAAAAAGTAAATGCTTTACAAAAAGTACAAATTTTCAATTGAAGACAAAACCGAATTAAACATCACAATCATTATACATTTTCTATTCCATTTTGAGGAGTTCCTGATGTATTCGTATTCCACTATCAATTAATATGGGACCATGTGTGAGCTAAATGTAACACAATGCATAAAGAATTTTCAAAATCGTTTCATAAATGGCAGAGTTATGTAGTAACAAACAATGTCTCCTCCTTTTTTGAAATAGGTAAAAATCTGAATGCACTGTACACGTGTTAGTATCTAAACTGAATAAACTATCTATTGACGTACAATATACAGCTGTCTCGCTCTCTTTCCTATCATATTGATCTTCTCTCTCGTGTAGCGAAACGGGCCTAAACTTAACGCATCCTTGAAATGTCATTCTCAATTGTCGTCATTTGAAATTCAAATATCTTTATTAAATATAGAAGCATTACACTTGATTGTCATTGTTATTAATTATCAAAACTCTACGGCCGATTCAGAAAAGAAATGCCACTGACATGAGAAGAACCGGCGAAAGAAACTCAACGGGACATTTTTGTGTACCATTATTTGACAAAATAACTTGCTTAAAATGTATTAAGGTCCACTCGAAAGAGCATCAGCGTTGAGTTCATATCCAGAGTGTGTTATCATTTAAATAATCACTAATATTATATTAGCCAACACACAAACACTGCTTTACAATTTATTTTGGAATATAACAATTGATACATTTCGAACAATTGATATAAAGAATATAATACAAATTGTCCCATAAAGAATTGCTTATTCTACGCTGTCTAGTTGTGGCTGGAGTTAATTTATGTTGGCTCCAAATTGTCAAATTATCGATTCGATGAGCAATAACTGTTAGTTAAAGAGATAAAAGATGAAGCATCCAATAAGCCGTTGAATTCACGGGATACTGCTCCGGTTACCAGCATCCGGATATAATCAAACTGTTTAGTGCAATGTAGAGTGCGTTCACTGAGCGCACTACAAAGACCGGCCAAGCGCGAGTCGGACTCGCGCACGCTAGGTTCCGTTATCTATAAAAACGGGCAAAATCACGTCTCTTGTATGGAAGACCCTCTTAAATATTTTTTATTCTGTTGTTTACTATTTGTTGCTATACCAGCAACAGAAATACATCATAATATTTGAAAATTTCAACTGTCTATCACGGTTCATGAGATAAAGCCTGGTGACAGACGGGCATATTGACAGACAGACAGCGGAGCCTAAGTAATAGGGTCCGGTTTTATCCTTTGGGTTATGTAACCTTATATGTGAAATATAAATAACAAGTTGAAAAGTAACATCAACACAACAAGTTTTATGTTTTAAGAAAATAGTTGTTGTTATTTCTTCTTTTTCTGCCCTTGCCCCTACTAGGTCTGGTTGGCGAAGTATGTGTAATTATGTTAACAACGGTATTAGCTAGTTTTACAACCGGTCAAATCACATTGGTAATGAACACCCAAATCTGGAACAATTATCAGCGGGCCACACATATTATACATGTCCCGTGCGGGAATCGAACTCCCGACCCACAGTTCGGCGCTGCACGCTAATGCCACAGAGGCATGCAAACACGTTTTAAGAGCTCAATTTAGAACTGATAAAGTCATTGAGGGATACACGAATGTTTTGATCAAGTCTTTGTTCAGTTGTTTCCCAAAATATATTATGTATGGGTTATGCATTATTAGTTTGAATATATAAAGTATAAGCGATTGTAAATAAAACTGTTTTATCCGCTCGTACAAAAGAAACTATTTTAAACAATTTTCATTAACGAAAGACAAAATCGACCTCAAACATCTCGCTCGATATTCATTTTATAATTGATTTTCGGGAGTTCCCCAAGTATCTCCGGTGCCCAATATTCAATACCAATGAATTTCCGTGTGAACCACACAGGAAGCAACAGCTTTCAAATAAAAAAAGAATCATCAAAATCGCTTCACTCATTCGAAAGATCCTTAAGTAACAAACATAAAAAAATACAGTCGATTTGAAAACCTACTCCTTTTTTGAAGTCGGTCGTAAACAGTCTATATAGTTCTAAACGCTACGTAAATACTTACGAATACTAATTAAGTAACTACAGAGAATTAAGAGCTTCTATTAGGAATTATATCTGTCTCAAGTCTCAATTCATGCCCGCATATTGCATGACATTTCTTTAGTTCTGTTTTATTACAGTTGCATATATATGCAGACCCCTCCACAATTACTTGTGGATTATAAATAGACAGGTTTGATTCAGTTTGTGCCCTCATGCGGAATAATCTGGACTTCGTCATTCCTGTGTCGGTGGCGCGAAAAATAATTGAAGTACACACACAGACAAACAACTAGACTTGTCGACACAAGGGAAATTATCCAAAGATAACCTTTATCAATACAACATATATAGAGGATTAAAACACCAATAAATTACACACATAAATCGCCGGAGGCGCGCGTCAATTTGCGCCTCATATGATCGTCACAGATTAAAAATAAAGACGGGAGCGCTCGAGAATGGCACAGATTATAGCGCGCTAGCAAAAGCATATTTTACCTTGGACGGCGATGAATAGCGACGCGAATGCGGCGTAAATCCAAAACTTATCCATTGTTCGCACTAAAACATTAGATGCGCGTGCGCACGTCTGTCTCACACGGAACGCGGGACGATACTAAACTAAATCAACAAAACGACGATGACGTCTTAATGCCACTATCGCCTATCACTGGCGATAACGATTATGAGATAGCTGCCTACGTGCCATGCACCGTCCCTTTCATTGGTCGAGTGGATAAGGATCATCGGAAGGAACGGTTTCACCTTCCCTTTATCGCTAAATTGGATGCTCTAACCGCTGAGTCAACTAGCTGATCACCTTTCCTTTGTTCTATTGCAATATACTCCCCCGTACTGATGTATTTTTGTAGTGTCAATATGACATGGACGCGGCGTCTTTGACAAAACGCTTTTTGTTGCAGCAGCTGTTTTTTTTTTTTTCAGTTACAAAAGAAAATATAAGTATTTACATTCGTGCAACGACAAATCGTTTCGAGCTCTTTCCAAATTAAAATAACAACACCACTACATACTATATATATATATATATATAACAAAGTCTTCCCGCTGTCTGTCTGTCCGTAGGTATGCTTAGTATCTTTAAAACTACGCATGATGCGGTTTTTTTACTAGATAGAGTGATTTAAGAGGAAGGTTTATAAATGTACTCTGCACCCGTGCGAAGCCGAGGCGAGTCGCTAGTATAATATAAGACAAGAATAAAGAGTGCAATTATACTGTAGCATAACTATTCCTAGTACTCTATTCATGCTGTAGATTGCGTTCCAGGAAAACCTACACATTTCGGAGAACACTCCGTCGACGGTTGCAGTTAAGTCGCATCGGGTTTCCCGACGCGTTTATAAACAATTGTGTTGGTAATTTATATCTCGGGAGGAGGCTTGTGGCTTGTCATTTTTGCGATAATACGATATACTCTCCAACCCAAGGACAACTTTCCAAAGCTAGTCAGCTAGCTTAATTTTTTTGATATTTTTTCTTTGATTTTAAATTCCAGACGTTTCGAATCCTTTCCAGTGTTCATGGTCCCGTCAGGACGTGATAAAATCCTGAAAATAGTTTGATTTAGCCATGTTTAACATTCGCGCAAAAATTAGATATCGATATTTCGACTATTTTTCTTTTTAAATAACAGTCGATGGAATATTTTAAACATGTACATGTTAAATGAAACTGGTTTACGGATTTTATCGCGTTTTTAATTTTGATTTGAACTCCCGACGTATTGAACCCTTTCGGGCGTTCATGGTCTGGGGACAGACAAATCAAAATTAAAAACGCGATAAAATCCGTAAACTAGTTTCATTTAGTATGTATAATATTCGCGTGAAATCAAGAAAACAATTTGTACATGTTCATTGAAAATTATAGGGGAAAGCAGCCGACATGAGGATGATGATAAAAACGATAGTGTCTCAGACAGTTCTGCAGAAATCAGATTAAAACTTTTGCTGTCATTATATAAATACAAAACGTACTTGTAAATAAATATCATTTCAAAAACGTCATTTTTCCTCACCCTACCATCAACGTAGTGATTACATTGCCTTTGCACCCTACCATATTAGTTTAAATTGACGGCTATGACGTCACAAGATGGCGCGAGGTCATTCCCATTCTTATTGTAATCATGACGACATTATGATGACATCACGACCTTTGAGTATAATTCAGATAATAATTAATATCAGAGTTCACCAACACTAGACCTCTGGTACCGTAAGTTTACTCTACGTAAATAGGACTCAAAGAATTAATTGATTTCTTTTATGCCAAATAACTTAAGGACTAAATAACAAAATAATATTAACTAAATGAATTGATAAATAATTTGTATAAGTTAGTTCAATTATTTTACTGTCTGAAAGAGGTCGTGACTAGGACTAGTCCTAGACGAGTAGCCTACTCCTAGGACTAGGATTAGGACTAGACGAGGCCAAGGACTAGTGCGACCTAGAGAATCTATTATTAGACGACGAACACCCAGATTCAAAACAACCATCTGTGGGTCACACAAATTGTTGTCTCGTGTGGGAATCGAACTCACGACCCTCGCCGCCGATGCCAATATCTAGGCAATTGGCCACGGAGTCATCACATCTTAATCATGCCAAATAACTTTTATTCCCTAAATCCTATCTCATTATGACGGTCGACTTAATAAAATACTTTAGCTCATCAAATTCGGGAAATTTTCGGCGCGATATTTTTAACGGTTAGTCGGGGAAATGTTTTGACTACTTGTAAAATTGTAGGGTGACCATGGGTAATTTCAAACTCGAGGTAACCTTAATGTTATGAATCTTTTATGTAAGTAAGTAAGAAGATGAAGAGCTAGTGTGCTGGCGGTTCACCTGATGTTAAGTGATGACAGCCGGCCGTGAACATTTGCTTCACCCGTAGGGTTGCAGATACGTTGGCAGTTTTTAATAAAGTAGGTTCCTCACTCACCATGCTAAACTCAAAAGTATAACAGCACCCCTTTATACTGGTCTTCTGTGAGTTCGTGATAATTCGCCGGAGGGACCCGAGCATTTGTGCAACAACGAAGACGTGTTGTGTGGCCTTACAGTTAAAAAAGCATTCATTATTAACGTTATAATGTGTTGTTATTCATTGCAAAGCTAGCAACTTCAATCGACTTCACGGTATTAAGATATCCAATAATAACTTTTTGACACTTAACCTTTAATTGCTGTCTTTTTCACAAACGAAGAGTACTTGAAGGGGGGAAGCTTATTTTCTTTGGTTACGATAAAGAAATATAACCATTTAAGTGCGTTCATAAATACATACAGACGTATTGTACGGTCGGCTGTTGCACGAATGGGCAGGCCCGTCCGGGTAAGTACCACGACCTACCAGCGTTGACCAAATACTTTCGCGTTTCGTCTGGTGAGTGAGGTAGCCGGAGCCCAATTTTCAAAAGGTTGTCAACGCATCTGTTGGCAGATGTCCATGGGGGCGGTATTTACTTAAATCAGGAGTTTGACAACTTTTCGCAGAAAAGAAAACGTTTTCTTTTAATCTGATACAGTTCCCGCTTCCGCACCTCTTGAAAAGGAGTTTATTTTTACATGTGTTTCTGTTTCACCTTACATTTCTGTACCGACTCCTCCATAAATGGTACAAGAAAATATTGTTATAGTGACATAGAACAGCATCTTTAGCAAGAAGCGGCTAGTGCTTCCGAGTAAGTGGCAAAAGACTGCTCCGTAACAAAATAAAACAGCGGCGGTGGTCTAGACATACCCCTTTTCCATACACCATTATATATATAGAGCCGTGACAGCTCAGTGTCCGGGCGCTCGCCTTTAATGCAATATACTCGAGCAAACTGAGTTCGATCCCCGGTGCAGGCACCGATGATATAATTTTAAGTGCTGAATTATCACGTGCTCAGCGGTGAAGGAAAACATTGTTAGGAAAACTGCATATTTTCGAAATAATAATAAATAAAATATATTTCGAAGATATGTGAAATCCGCCAATACGCAGTGGGGCCGCGTAGTGGATTATGCCCTGATACCCTCTGTATAAAGAAGGCCTTTGCCCAGCAGTGGGACATGTATAGGCTGATACTTTTATACACTATTATGCTTAAGTCGTTTATATTTTTAACTCCCGTATAGCTGCCATCTTATTGTCACCCTATACCGACCACACGCAGTCTTGTTTATTCGCCCGCGCCCTTGAACGTATAGTATCTGACTCACACGTATACAGATGTTATCGAAAACAATCACAAGTCTCTAAGAAAAATATGTTTTGTATCCCTCTGTGTTATCTTGCTATATTCTCATTTCAAAAACTACACTATAAGTGTAATTTAATGACATCAAAATAAAACCGAACTCTTTTGTCGATTTCCTTAAAAAATACGAACTCATCATGCCTTCGCAAAGTTATCAGATGTTGCTGAAATTTATAACTTAAACTATTTCTAAAAGGAATCATTGAACTCTAAACGGTATTGTGTAGAATTATGGCTTAAGAGTAAAAGATCCGACACATTGAGAACTAATTATAATTTGAATTTCTTATACTTGAAGACGGTTTAAAAGTAATCTATGTATGCCATGTATTACATTCTCCCAATTCTTTTCCTTCACTCCTTCTTCCTTCTCCCCATTCACTTAAGAAATACAAAAGTCATGATAAATCGGATAGACAAAGATCGCTAAAGTATGCTTCGTGATTGAATCGTGAATTTCCACCTTATTTCTTCCGATGGATGCGTTCCACGCCGAGGTGTGTCTCCATCTGATTCTAGATCATGTCATGCACCGTCTCATTAGTCGAATTGTCCATCTTACGTTAACAGGGGTCCTGGAGATATAGAAAGACGGCGGCATCGTTCATCTTCCTTCTTCTTCTGAGTCTGCGAGGCGTTAACTTCAGACCTCCCCCAACGGAGCTGTTTAAGCTGATGGGTTAACATAAATTTACAAAAAAAAATCGGTAGTACTAAATCCGTATATTATAGCTAAAATACCATGTCTATAAAATAAAATGACCATAATTCGCAACCTTACTTTAATCTTATCACAAACGATTACTACCTTAAACTCTAAAACATATTTAGAAAGACTCGTTTTAAGATCAGTCAAATAAATGAACCATTAAAATACATTAGATTTATTATTTTTATCTAGTGTCATTTAATGACAATGTGGCGCATTAATTAAAACAACCGCCGCGTCTAGTTTAAATTTAGCGCGCAAAAAGGGCGCGACTCGCGCTTTGCAACCGAGTCGCCTCTGATTGGTCGGCGACCGGGGACTTCTCTCTGCCTCCACGCTCGGAAAACATCGGTCAACTTGTTTCTATTAACAATAAGATTGTTCTAATGGTGAAAAGATTGTGAAATTATGTAAAAATCCTTCTGATCAATACAAATAACACATTCCGCACATTTCATGCCATAACAATGTAACTTTTAGCTGTATATGATAGATGGCGCTAAATTTTATATTTTATAATAAAAAGTAAAAAATATGTTCTGAGACTGCCACATGTAAAGTTGAAGTTCTCTATGCTTGATTAAATTTACCAAAAATCATTAAGGTTTCAATAAGATCAAAAATCGAAAAATATTTTAAATAAATCAGAATTTAACGAAATTTTAATTTACTTAGGTACTAGAAAAGTCAAACCATGCGAAGGAAAAGGAAATTAATGCACGGCATAATGATTTTTTTCATTTAACCACTAGATGGCGAAACAACATTACATACAAATTAATGCAATTAGAATAATATAGATGGCGCGATTATACACAGTTTAGATTCCAATAAGAATTATTATAAAATCTCAATTTCATTTAGTATACTAATAAAATAAAAAAATACATTGTACAATCAGTAATAATATATAAATCCGATCGAATGTGTCCAAAAAACCCAGATGTTTCGAACAAAGATTGACACAAACTTGAAAAAAAAAAAAAAAAATTAAAAATCTTCGTGTGTGACAGATGTCGACTAGGTGAAGATTTACAGTTCCCGCCATGAAAAATCCTTGATAGAAGGCCGTGTCCTCGCTCGAAGGTCTCCATAAACTTGACACTGAGTGAGGACGCAGCCTTGCTACTACCTTGGGAGCGAGGTCACTTTTCGCAAGCACGACGCAGTGACGTAGACAGTTAGCGATATGTGATTAGTTTATGTAATAAAGCGTTGGGAGCGCTGACAGGCGCTTTGGCGGGAGCATTGTTACGTTGCTATTTTTACTTTGTACTGACTGTTAAATGCAAAATATTTATCAATTTAGAAATAGCAATGATGGGAAGTCAGGCAAAATCTTTTGTTAAATTTTATTTTACCGCGTCTAAATTTGGGTTTAGTTCCAGACGATTCAAATAATGTAGTTTAATATATTCTTTTATCAAAGAATTCGGCTCCATTGTCTGTACATACTTTTTCAGTTTTTTTACAAATTACTATTTACTGATGTAATAATGAATATTCTGTAAATGAATATTACTACAGGTTAGTACTGAAAATCATCATTATGTGGGGGTTTTGATGTCCAGTGCAGCTTAGGTAATAGGGCGTAAAATTAATTATTTTCTGTGGCGGCCTGTCTACAGCTAACATAACAGCTAATCGTCGTCGCACGGCGAGCCGTTATTTTGAATACGCTCGGGCGCTTTCGTGCATCGTCGACCGCGCTCGGATTTTCGCTGGACGTCAGGGATTCTGCGTACGTGACTGACTTGTCTGCCGTCGGCCGCGCTATTGCAATAACGTCTATGTTAGTATATCTTTCAGTTCCATCCTACTAACCCACATTTCTATTAAAATTTATTTGTACTTTGTTTTTTTATATCTACTATATTTATAATGAAATATTCACTTATTACTATGACTCATACGTAGATAAGCGGAATAAAACTTCATCTAGGTTGAAATATACGCATACTTAAGTAGACATAAAAACATACAATTTCCCATATAAACATTTATTTTAAAAACTAGAACCCTCAATATTTAATCTCCTCTTAAGTTTATTATACAGTTTCAATAAACATAACAAATAAATAAATAAGTAAATATAGAAACGGTTCATCTATCATCTTTGATGAACTAATAAGACATTAACAAATTGTTGTTCAATAGTCGCGAAGTATAGCGCGTGCAAATATAAACTATAGGAAAACTTCATGAGTCATGAACGATTAAATTATGGCAGTGTTAACTGCTAAAAAATTTGGACACTCTTTGTTCGTTTTAAGTTATTTTACCGCGGACGGACATGATTTTTGTGACAAAATTTGACCAGAGCGCCATCTAGCGAACCAAATTATAATCGTTTTTGACAAAGTCATCCTATACCTCGCACAGATGAAAAATATCACATAAAACCCTTTAGAAAAAGTCTATTCTTTTCAATCTCGAATCTAGTTATAAAATTCGATTAGAGAATCTCAAAATTTCATATTTACGACAGTTCAAGCGAATTGCTCCCCACTCTGCACTAGACCCGAGTGGATGACATCTAGAACGTTCTAGAAAGTCGTGGCGTTGTATTAAAACACGTAGTTGGTCCGGACGCTGAGAGTGCTGGCGATGTTGAAGTATTTCGGCGCTTTCGCCAGGAGCCTCTTGTAGGATTCTGTGAAGTCCTCGGGGTGGGCGATTTTGTGGGCGTGGTGGGATATTTCCACGAGTGGTTGGTTTTGCTGTGAGGGCGCCACCTGCAATATAGAGTTACCTGTGTGACGACTCCATGGTGCAGCTGTCAAGGTATTAGATTCGACGCCCGGGGTCGTGGGTTCTAAAAATATCTATGCCTACTACCATAGTAAAGAAGTAGTTTTTCTGTTTGTATGTGTATAATGCATAGAACTGGTTCTGATACTTACTAACCGACTTCAAAAAAGGAGGAAATTTCTCAATTCGAAAGTATATATATATTATTTTTATGTGTGTTCGTCGTTTATGAACCGATTTTGATGATTATTTTTTTGTCGGAAAGGAGATCATGAGGGTGGTACCATGGTAAAGAAAACCCGGATCTGATGATGGCATACCAGAGAAATCGAGGGCCATCATTGAAAGTTATAGGTATTAACAATGTTTTTAATTTTCTGATTGAAGTCGTTTTTTTTTAAATTATACTTGTTTTTACAGTAGCAAACATGTATGAAACAAAATTAAATGTAGTGATTAAGTTCGATCTATCAAATATGCATATATTAAGTACTAATACCTAATATATTATAGTAATAATAATAGAAAAGTAAAAAAGTAAAGTAACAGCCTATACATGTCCCACTGCTGGGCAAAGGCCTCCTCTATACAGAGGGTATCAGGGCATAGTCCACCACGCGGCTCCACTGCGGATTGGCGGACTTCACATATCTTCGAAATATATATATTTTTTGTTATTATTTCGAAAATATGCAGGTTTCCTCATAATGTTTTCCTTCATCGCGGAGCATGTAATAATTCAGCACTTAAAGTTAAAAACCTCATTGGTGCCGGCACCGGGGATCGAACTCAGGTTGCTCGAGTATATTGAATTAAAGGCGAGCGCCCGGACACTGAGCTGTCACGGCTCGGTAATAATAATAGATCTACTTTATTTGGAACCCTGGCTCGTTCATAAAGTATATAAATGACGTAAGAACTATTATTCAAATTATAATTGGCCAAGTAACAATGCTACAAATATAAAAGACTTTTTTCATCCTCCTCTAGTAGGATCAAGAAATATAGTTGTATAAATATAGTAGATTGGTTTTAAATATTATTATAAAAGCCATAGTGAGTGTGTATGTGCGTTTGTTGTCACTTTTCAGACATCATTAAATAATAGTAATATTGATAACTGTAGAACTGAAACTTAAGTTGAAAACTAGTTATTGCTAAATTTTCTAAAAAAAAAATACTGTTGAAACGTTTGTAGAAGCAAATAACATAATTTAATGTGTTCAAAGCCAAGTCTCGTTTAAATGTAAAAAATTATCGTTAACGCCTGCAACTTTTTAATAGCATAGAGTTGTCAATAAACAAAAGTGCTAATATTTCTCGTTCCTCAAAATACAAATAACCGGTGCGAAGCAGGAAGCCATATTTCGTTTCGTCTGGTGAGTGAGGTAGCCGGGGTCTAATTTATTAAAAGGGAGTAACATCTACCTCCCTACAGGTGTTTCGAATGATCATGTACGGGTGATCACTTAACATCAGGTAAACCACCAGCTCGCTTCCTACTTTGTCACATAAAAAAGTACAGTATTAATACGATGACTAGCTGTGCAGTCGCCAAGGTTTGTTTCGGCACCGGAGTCGTGGGTTCGATTCCCACATGAGGCAGACATTCGTTTGGATCCGATCATTTTAGATTCGGGTTCGCGCAAGCGATATTTATCTATGCAAAACGCTACAACACCGGATAATGATATCCTTTAGTAAGGAGGGAGGATCCACAATTGATCTCGAAGGTCGCAGTGGGCATAAAATGCAAATACCCGGAAGGTGAGGTTGAAGGAGAAGGGCCCAGGGTCGGTGGAGTGGGTGGCGACGGAGTGCAGAACGATGAAGAGCGGCCTGCCCAGGAACCGGCCGCTCGGCTTGGGCGGGCCGGCCAGGGACCAGCCGGCCAGCGCCGCGGCGCCCGTTGGCAGCAGGGTCAGCAGGCTGTGCGCTGGACCTGGAACAGAGATTGTCGCTCTTCTTATCGGTGGGGCTCGAAAGGGGGGGGGGGGGGGGGGGGGGGGGGGGGGGGGGGGGACGACGACACGCAACAGTCTTTGCTCTTAAGTCAAGTATTCTCCGAAATCCAAGCCAAGTGACGTTTGAATGTAAGGAATTATTGTTAGCGCCTGCCGCTCTTTAATAGCAATAAGTTGCCAATCCACGAAAGTGCTAATATATTTCGCACCTGCTTCACATAACCGACGTGAGGTGCGAAGCGTTTCCTGCGTTTTCTCTGCTGAGTCAGGTATCCGGGGCCCACTACGGGTGTGTGTCCAGGGGCGGCGGTTGTCACTTAACAACAGGTGAAACCCCAACTCGCTCGCCACCTCCTCACATAAAAAGCTGTCTGGTCTCAATTGTATGCAAACTGACCTATCATAGTGCAGTGCAGGGTGCACTCTTCTCCTCGGCAGGAGCGGGTCACGTCCAGCGAGGGCTCGGGTTCGAACCTGGCTGGAGGGGCCGTGTGAAGGAACAGAGAGTCGTTCCTGAAAGGAAGGAACATATTTAAAGAACTTGATAACTGAGTTTTCATTATGTTTAAGTGTACGCAATACAAAAATAATCCTATTACACTTAATAGTTTGTTAGTAAGTTTTATTTAATAGTTTAGGAGGAGTTTTTATTTAGTAGAAATATATCTTAAATAAGTGAACAACAACATACAAAAATATGGGCAAGTAGAAAGAGACAAAACATTGAGATTCAAATACAGATCAGATTCAAAAAAAATCTAGATGTGATGATTTCTTCAACCCACACAAACATATTGCGTGTGCATCTTATTAGTCGTATTCGACTAATAGTGGTTATAAATGAGTGTATGATGTAACATTAAATCATTTAACTAAGCGAAAGCAAGCAGACAGACGAACAGTCACAAACAAGATACAGAGCACGTCATATAAACACTAAACAGAGTATTTGTTTACTTTAAGTGGACGATGAAACTTTTATTGTGACCTATTTCATTATTTTTGCTTACCTATTCGATGAATGTTTGAGTGAATGGAAAGTTGAGGTGAATCATATTTTGTGAATGAACCAGTGAAGGAACGTCGGGATTGACTGAGTGACGAAACTTTTATTCTAATGGAATGCTACTTGTTTCTATAGTTAACTAAGTGAATTAATGAACGAATCGGAGTGAAGAACCAGTGAAGAATTGATAAAAGAATGAGTATACATTAAAGTGGGAGTTAACGAATGGGTGAGTGAATGAATGAACGACAAGACCCGACTGAACTAAAAGAATGAATGAGCGTTTGACCGGCGTGAAGGAAGGAACCAGTCAATACATTAAACTAAAACTAGTTTACGGATTTTATCGCTTTTTAATTTTAATTTTTGATGTTTCGAACCCTTTTCAGCGTCGCGATTTAAAATCAAAATTGAAACTCGACAAAATCCGTCACTAGTGTCATTTAATTTGTATAATATTCGCGCAAAATCAAGAAATTTATATGTGAACCGTTGAATGATATAAAAGAGCTAGTTTACATTAGCGAATGAATCATTCAATGGATAGGGGAATGAGTGGATGAAACGAAGCCAGCCCAAGCCGTACTCACAAGTGGTGCCCGAACCTTGGCCTGGAGAGTGGCAGGTTGCAGTGCACGAATCTGCCACACTCCTCGGAGACCGGCTTCCACCTTCCCGAGAAGAGCGGCCGCGCCCTGGCCAGGGTGTGGGCGTCCTGGCGAGGAATCACCAGCCCCGACTCCCGCCCAACCTCGCTCCCGTTCCAAGAGTAGCTGACTATCTCCGAGTGCTGGAAACAAAGAGGTCAGCGTCAAAAACTGGTCTATTTTTTTTATGTGAAAAGTTATCAAGCGAGCAGACGGTTCACCTGATGTTAAGTGAATACCGCCGCCCGTGGACATCTGCCACACCCGAGGGTTGCAGATGCGTTGACAACCTTTTGAAAATCGGGCAATTATAACTAGACATTATTTGGAGGCCAGGGTTGAAAACTGTTCTATACGTCCAGCTAGGGCATTATTTGTGGTAGTATTTATCTATAATGAAGGATAAAGATATGTCAATGAAAGGAAAAAAGAAAGTATACGAAATATGCATTATGCCATGCTTACTTTACGGATGCCAGACATGGGCGTTAACAGAAGTACAAGAAAGTAAATTAAAAGTCTTCCAAAATGCAATAGAAAGGAGTGTTTTAGTTATAAAAAGAAGTGATAGAGTGAAATTACAAGAAATTAAAAAGATAACAAAATTTAAAAATGCACACACAGCCTACAGACAGCTCAAATGGCGTTGGAAGGGACATATGTTAAGAGAAAGTGAAGAGAAATGGACTAAGTTAATAACAGAATGGTATCAAAGAGATGGCAAAAGAAAGAGGGGAAGAAAAATCAAGAGATGGGAAGATGACTTCAAGAAAATAGCTGGTCCGGTATGGATCCGTTTGGCAAGAGACAGGAATACGTGGAAATTTTTGGAGGAGGCCTTTGTCGCCAGACAAGCTGTTCCACACAAACATCTAGTTGCCGATTATTCAAAAGATTTATGTTGTAATTGATTAAATAAATTTAGTTTATAGTAGGTAGGCATTTGTTAATTGTAAGGAATAGAAGCAGCAATAAAGGCTATTTTATTTTATTTAATTTATTTATTTATATTTATCTATAAGACCACGCAACACGATGCTTTTGCACGAGTGGGCAGATCCTCACAGAAGACCGGCGTCAAGTGGAACTGTGATTCTGGCGTTTCTTCGGGTGAGTGAGTTAGCACTTTTGAAGTGAAACTTCTAATGCGACTTCAACAAGGTTGCGTTGAACGTCCAACGCTCCTGGGGAGGGGGAATAGAAAGAGACGGAGCGAGAGTGAATGCGTGGCACTCGAAGTTTCACTTCTTCCGCGCGATTATTGTTCTTATTGTTCCATTATGATATTTTTTATTGCAAGGCATAGCCGTGACAGCTCAGTGTCCGGGCGCTCGCCTTTAATTCAATATACTCGAGCAACCTGAGTTCGATCCCCGGTGCCGGCACCAATGAAGTTTTCAACTTTAAGTGCTGACTTATCACGTGCTCCGCGGTGAAGGAAACATCGTGAGGAAACCTGCATATTTTCGAAATAATAACAAAAAAACTTAAAATATTTCGAAGATATGTGAAGTCCGCCAATCCGCAGTGGAGCCGCGTGGTGGACTATGCCCTGATACCCTCTGTATAGAGGAGGCCTTTGCCCAGCAGTGGGACATGTATAGGCTGTTACTTTTCGCATCTGCCACCCTACGGGTGTTGCAAACGTTAAACATGTCCGACATTGAAAATGCATCAGCTACTCACAAACCAGTAGTGCCTCTGCGTGGCCAAGTCGTCGTAGACGCTTAGCGGGGCGAGCATCAGCGCCAGGCTGGTGGCACCCACCAGGCCCAGTGGCAGCCAGGCTCCTTTGCGCGAGAACAGCAGTTCCACTCCCGACTGGGGGAGGGGAGGGGGGGGGGGGGCATACTGTTTATGATTGGGGAAAGGTCAGAGTCAAAGCTAACAGTGGTAGGGCCACGCCATAAGAAAGTACCATTAACCAATTTACCATAACCTTTTTTGATTGTTATTGGTGTGCAGCTATGGTGAAACTTAAAACTGGGTATAAAAATTTACATTTTTTTTTATTTTGATCAAAATAGAATGAATCATTATTATGGTTATTTTGATCTTTTTTGAATTAGGATACCTCGAATACTAGTAGTTGTTTCAACAGCTTTGTTAATATTGACGTAGGCTAATAGAAGAATATTATAATTATTTTTTTCTTTTATATTTTAAAACATTGCCCTCACTTTAGGATAACATTATCCTGTGTCGTAGCGACGTTTTACAAGCATAAATTTCACGCGGACGAACACCCACATGCGAAATAACTATCTGTGGGTCACACAAATAGTTGTCCCGTGTGGGAATCGAACCCACGACCCCAAACGCCGTAGCCGATAGCTTGGATCTTTTTGAAAAAGAGCAACCGTTGAGTTTCTTGCCGGTCTCTTATCAACAGAAAGTGCCTTCCAAACCGGTGGTAACTTACTTACGAACTTACGTATCAATTATTATGTTTAATTCGACGTTGCATATAAACGCAAGCGTCTATTTGAATGGAGATATTATATAGAATTGAATTGACAGCAATTATAGAAAGGTGACAAGGCTATCGTCTTCATAATGCTCGTTACGTTTGCTGAACCGATTAGCGTGGGGAGTAGTGACCCTGCCTCCTGCGCCAGAGGGTGTGGGTTCGATCCCCACTACTGGAAAAATGTTGTGTTTATGTATATGTATAATATGTATATATTATATGAAAAGTATGTTTATCAGTTATCTGTTGTTCTGGGGGTGAATCTCAAAACTCTCCTGTGGCGCGCTAGGGCTGTCACATTCGAGAAAGTGGAGAAACTCACCACTAATGTGGCGGCGAGGGCTGCCAGCGCCAGGTTGGCACCCCCCACCACCAGGTCCGGGTGGTTGATTGGCATCCTGCCGGCCGTGGGCACCAGGATCGAGTCCAGGCGGAGGGAGACCGACGCCACGAACAGGAAGCCGGGCAGCGAGAGGAGGAACTCCATCGCCAGCTGCTGCACGGCTGAGAATCGCATCGGGATCCGTTCAGCCGGCGTCATTCTCGTGATGCACGTGCTGGGGCCGTGATAGCTCAGTGTGCTCTCTCGCTTTTAGTCCAATATAATCGAGCAAACCGAGCTGAGTGACTTATCATGTGCTCAGCGGTAAAGGAAAACATCGTGAGGAAACGGTGGTGAACTATGCCCTAATACCCTCTGTACAGAAGAGGCCTTTGTCATATTTGTCAGCCCAAAGGCTGCTAATGAATAGTGACTAAATATAGTTAATAAAAAAATAAATAGCACCACGCGGCCTCACATTTACAGGGTTCCGTACCCAAAGGATAAAACGGGATGTTTTTTATCTGTCACCAAGCTGTATCTTATGAACCGTGATGGTTAGACGGTTGAAATTTTCCCAGATGATGTAGTTTTGTTGCCGTTATAACAGCAAATACTAAAAAACAGAATTAAAAATAATAATTGGGGCTCCTATACTAAAAAACAGAATTAAAAAAAAATAATTGGGGCTCCTATACTAAAAAACAGAATTAAAAAATAATAATTGGGGCTCCTATACTACAGACATGATTGTTTGATAACGGTACGGAACGTGCGCGAGTCGGACTCACACTTGACCAGTTCTTGTTATTATTTTGAAAATATGCAGGTTTTCTCACAACCTTCGCTGAGCACGTGATAAATCAGCACTTAAAATTAACAATTCCATTGGTGCCGGCACCGGGGATCGAACTCCGATCGCTCAATTATCGAATTCAAAGCGAGCTCTGTCAACGAGCAATCACGGGCGCTCCTCAAATCGAATCAAATAATTTATTCGATAATAATATATATCGAATTAAGAAATATACATTTCATCTATGTACAGTCAATTTTTAAATCTACCACCGTTCCGTAATGAGGTTCCTCTAGCGGAGAAGAGACAGGCGAAACAAACTTCGTAGGTAACCTCTTTTTATCATTTCTTTTGCTAAAACAACTACATTGTTAAAATCTGTAGAAAAAGTGCTTAAAGATTGCCGCCGCTGTGGGAGTCGAACCCACGTCTTCGGCATTCGCGGCCCGACGCTATACATTGTTATACAGTACATAATTTTTTAATAGCAACAGCTTAGGAGCGATCATCTCATTTTTTTTAATGGGAAGAGTTGCCAAGCAAGCAGCCGGGTCACCTGATGTTAAGTGAATACCGCCGCCCATGGACATCTGCCACACCCGAGGGTTCCAGATGCGTTGACGACCTTTTGAAAAGTGGACTCCGGCCACCTCACTCACCAGACGAAACGCGAAAGTATTTGTCATACTTCCACTTGACGCCGGTCTTCTGTGAGGTCGTGGTACTCACCCGGACGGGCCTGCCCATTGGTGCAACAGCCGAGGCTGCTGCGTGGCCCTACCACCGTTAAAAGTTCCCATTACCCCATTCCCAGTTCCTCACCTGTCACCCTGAAGACCTTCAGGGCCGTGATGGAGACCAACGAAGCGGCACTCGTGGCCGCCAGGGGAACCGTGATGACGTAACGCATACTTGCCAAGCTTGGCACGACTGCCAGAGGCAGTAGGACGGCCGCTAAAAGCAGCCTAGTGGCCGCCATCGCCTCCAAAGTGCGAAGGGACCGGTTCAGACCACCCTGAGGGTCGCGAATGATGCAGTGGATTGGACATTGCCGGGGCCGGATTGTATATTATTTGACCAGCGACCCTCAGGGTCTTATTATGCATATAAACCTTCCTCTAGAATCACTATATCTATCGCTATTTTATTAGATAGAGTGATTCAAGAGGAAGGTTTATATGTATAATACATTGCACCCGTGCGAAGCCGGGGCGGGTCGCTAGTATAGAGAAAGAGTGCAGAATGCTATTTTTTTTAAATTATACATAAAAATACAATTAAATCAATAAAAATAATAATATCTAATATATCTGTGTAAATTAGTTATTTTCTTCTCTTTTTTTTATGATTTTTATTTTATTTTTGTAAACGATGTTTGTGGACGATTAATAATCTTCTATTGTATTCTATTCTATATATTTGTATAAATCCAAATTCTTCCTTAAAGAACTTTCATGGAATATTATTACGATAGACTTATATTAGTACCTACCTACCGTATTAATTCAAATTATCTTCGTCTTAATACTCATTTTGCTATGTTAAATTGTAATTTGTAATTTATGGTAGTAATTATGTATAGAAGATTGATGATAGTTACACCGGAAAACCCGTATGAGTTAATTTTTGTATCAGTCAAATATGTTTGTTAATTCTTAAACAAATAGAATATAAAAAAAAATAAAAAAAGTATTTCTACAAACAAATCCATAATCTTATTAATTAAAGCGACGTTTTTAACGAACACTATATAAAAATAAATGAAATTAATTACGCTCCAGAATGAACGGATTCTCACCTGACCCTCGGGCTGGTCTATTCTGAATGAGATCAGCAAATACCCGACGAGGTATGGGATCCAGTAGAAAGGGACCACCAGCCAGGGTCTTGAGAGGTACCTGAGAGGGACGAGGTTATGGCAAAATTAGAGAAGACGTAGCGGCATCTTTAGCCGACTTCGCAAAATGAGGTGGTTCTCTTCTTTAGCGTTCCGTACCCAAAGGGTATAACGGGACCCTATTACAGGGACTCGGCTGTCTGTCTGTCTATCTGTCCGTCTGTCACCAGGCCGTATCTCATGAACATTGATAGTTAGACAGTTCAAATTTTCACACATGTATTTCTGTTGGCGCTATAACAACAAATAATAATAATACAATTTATTGTACACAACAAAAAAATTACAAAAAACAAAATATTTATCAAATTTTGGTCATTAAAAGGCGACCTTATAGCTACACAGCAATTTCTTCAAAGCATCCTCAGAAAGAAAATATTATAATAAATATAAGTGCTAAAATAACAGAATAAAATAATTATAATTTTAAACAAAAAAAATGCCGACTTCAAACAGGAAACCAAAAACATTGTCAACACCTATAAAATTTGTTTGAGGATTGACCTCGATTTCTCTGGTATGCCATCATCAGATCCGGGTTTCTTTATCATGGTACCACCCTTGGGATCTCCTTTCCGACAAAAAAATAATCATCAAAATCGGTCACATAAACGACGAAGTTATCCGCGAACACACGTAAAAAAAAAAAAAAACGTATACGGTCGAATTGAGAAACCTCCTTCTTTTTTGAAGTCGGATAAAAATCTAAGTAGGGCTCCCGTACAAAAGAAATGTAATGTGAAAGAATGTAAAGTATAATACTTTCGCGTTTCGTCTGGTGAGTGAGGTGGCCTGAGCCTAATTTTCAGAAGGTCGTCAACGCATCTGGAACCCTCGGGTGCGGCAGATGTCCATGGGCGGCGGTATTCACTTAACATCAGGTGAACATGCTCGCTTGGCAAGTTTTCACATAAACAAAAAAAAATGATTTTTTTGATAACGCTACGATTCTTGGTGGAGAAGCGATCGCTCCGACCTCTCAACAGCTAGAGCGTACCTGAGCTGTTCTGCGACGATGGTCATCAGCAGCACTGCCAACGCGCCGCTGACCAGCCCGAAGACGGTGCAGAGCAGCCGCCCCCCCACTCCCCACAGCAGCCCCACTGCCGACGTCCGCCCTGAAACCCACCACCACATAAGACGGCAAGCGAGCTGGCGGTCCACCCGATGTCAACTGATAACCACCGCTCATTATTATTGACATTTGCAACACCCGTAGGGTTGCAGGTGTGTTGCGACCCTTTAAAAAGGGAGCCCCGGCTACCTCACTCACCAGACGAAACGCGGAAGTGTAACACTTCTACTTTACGCCGGTCTTCTGTGAAGTCGTGGTACTAACCCGGACGGACCTGCCCAATCGTGCAACAGCTAACTGTTGCGTGGCCCTACCACTGAAATGCTAGGGCATAACCTCTACTCTCTTAGCCTCATTATGATATCTACATTGCTTTGAATGCAAGAAAAATGAAGATAGAACCTCAAAACAAAGTGATCACCTCACTCAACATACGAAACGCAGAAGTAATAATTATTTTTTTTTTTATGTGAAAAGTTGCCAAACGAGCAGACGGTTCACCTGATGTTAAGTGAATACCGCCGCCCATAGACATCTGCTACACCCGAGGGTTTACAACAGACAAGAACCACAGCACTTGAACTATGTTTATATTGACATTTGAATTTTGGTAAAATAACAGTAAATAAATTATAATTTAAATAAATTTGGAAATGATTTTGATATACCCAGTGTCACTCTCACAGTAAATACGAATCTAACAACACCTCTCGGGCCAAAATCCATCAAGCCATTCAGGCTTCAGAGCGTGCCAAACAATTATGCATACATATACACTCTCGAAAAACATAACCCTCCTTCAGGCGCAGTCGGGTAAAAATAGTAGTATCTGAAATTTATCTACCCAATAAGTTTCTAAAAGCCACACCGACTGGCACTAAAAAAATTTAAATAATCATAAAATATATTTTATATAGGTACTTAGTTTATTTATTCAAAAAAAAATTTTACACATAAAACGTAAAATGGCGGACTTAACACCATTAGGTGTTCTCTTCCATTCCACCGACAAATAAGTAGAGAAAATAAGGTGCGAAAGAGCCACAAGAGAAGTAGTGGAAAATATGATTTTATACATACATACGTTTAAATATACAGTTATAATATAACTCATATAAATAATCATAAAGAAAATATGTTTATAAAAAAAGACGAAATAAATGATACAATACAACAAACGCCACTCACGGAACCCCACGACGGATAAATAGTACGCGACTGTTAGCAGAGCGGACAGCGCGACCGAAATGTCGACCAATTGCGCGGTTCCATTGTCATACGTCACGAGGAACACGTTGAGGTAGTCGAAGTAGACCAGCGAGGCGGCCGCCGTCTGGAATCGAACCCCGGACTCGCTTGAGAGTTCTACGGTTTCGCTTTTAAAGACACCCTCCACACAGTGCGGGAATATTGTAGACGGTATTTGTAAAAACACATAGTGAAATTTAAATCTAGAGTGGAATTCGAAACTGCCTCAAGTGTTTGTCTAAGCTTGTTGTAAAAATAAAAAAATAAACTAAACTAAGTAAAGTAATACAAAATCACAACAAACTCGTTCAAATATTCATTAGAAAATGTTATTTAAGGAGCGGCATACTGCAAAGTCGCTCACTAGATGGCGCCAAGCGTAGATGAAAATACAAAATAAAGGTCAATCTAATTAAAAAGTAATATTTATACTTAAACAGTTTAAATCCACGATTCGGCCAAAGAATACATGAGTAATAGATTTCCTAATCAATAAGACACTTGAAAAACACTTTTTACAATTTTTATCTGTCTGTCTGTCTGTTTGTTCCGGCTAATCTCTGAAACGGCTCTGAACGGACTTTCAGTGGTTGATAGCTGATGTAATAAGAAGTAACTTAGGCTACTTTTATTTTAGACTTTCTATTTTAAATTCCACGCGGACGAAGTCGCGGGCACAGCTAGTATGAGATATAAAAGTGAATGTGACAGATGATATAGAACGAACGATACGGAAAGAGATAGCAGTCTAAAGAATTGCAATCTAATAACACGAATTGGCGTAATTTGAGTGTCTCAGTTCCGTGTTTGTATCATCACTGACAGAAGCCAGGGTCTGGTCTCCTGACTCTCCCGAGCAGCTCACCTTGGCGGCCATCAGCTCGTCGTCCGCCAGCCGCTCCAGCATCGCCAGCAGCACGTCCCCAGCGTTCTGCACCACCCCCTCCCTGATCAGCTCGGGCCGGTCGTTCCGGGTGTGGTACACGCACCCCCACTTGGCGAAGGCCACGTCCACGCCTGGGCATAAGCACGTGGGTGCGGTGAAAGTACACACAAGGGAGTAAAGTAAAGTAACAGCCTATACATGTCCCATTGCTGAGCAAAGGCCTCCTCTATACAGAAGGTATCAGGGCATAGTCCACCACGCGGTCCCACTGCGGATTGGCGGACTTCACATGTCTTCGAAATATTTTTTTTGTTATTATTTCGAAAATATGCAGGTTTCCTCACGATGTTTTCCTTCACCGCGGAGCACGTGATAATTCAGCACTAAAAGTTAAAAACTTCATTGGTGCCGACACCGGGGATCGAACTCAGGTTGCTCGAGTATATTGAATTAAAGGCGAGCGCCCGGACACTGAGCAGAGGGAGTACAGGGGAGTACACAAGGGAGTACAGGGTGATTTTATAGACGACGGACATATTAACAGAGCATATTATTATGCAGAATTTGATTCTAAATCTGAATGTGGTACGCACTTGTGGCCTCATGTTTTTTTGTTTTTTCAAAGATTATTTTTAATTTTTTCAAACATCCGTCTCAATTAATATTGTTTGTTTGTTTGTTTGTATATTCTTTATTGTACTAGAAGTTTGTACAAAGGCGAACTTAATGCTAATTAGCATTTTCTTCCAGCTAACCTTTGGTGGTTGAGTACAAGTTACGGGTAGTAACGCTAAAATGACATACAAAATTTTTGTGTCTATCATAAAGAATATGGCATAACTAAATATACTTCATCATAAATATATATAATTACAATTTTATAAACATACTTGCACGTATATATTATATTACACATACTATTTATTGTACACTATATATATATATATATATATATATATGTACCCATATATATATTACATACCTACTATTTATGCATACATAATAAATATAAATTCAAATAAAATAAAGAATCAATCAGTCACACTGTTCTGAATAAGTAAATAGTGTTCAGATACACGCGCTTTAAAAACATCAATCGACGGGGGCCTCTCTTATATCGACTGGCAGACTATTCCACAATTTTATTGCTGTACAAGTGAAAGAACTGGAATAGTAATCCGTGCGACATGCGGGGGTATTTAAATATTTATTATAACCTTTGCGGGGTACACGTCCAACGAACTGCATATATGAGAACCGCTCCCTGAGGTATTGCGGAGACCAATCGTTGTGCAGTACATTATATAACAAGGTGAGTGCGTGTACATTCCTTCGGTTCCGTATATTGAGCCACTTCAGCTTAGTTCGGTAGTGTGACACGTGATCGAACTTTCGTATACCGAAGACAAAACGTATACATAGGTTTAGTACCCGTTCAAGTTTATTTAAAAGTGCTTCGGTGATATCAGTATAGCACACATCGGCATAGTCTATGATAGGTAATAGCAAGGTGTTAACTAAGGTTATTTTGGTGGGTAAAGGAAGGAAATTTTGCAGGCGCTTAAGGCAATGGAAGGAAGCAAATACCCTTTGACTAACTTTCGTGACGTGAAAAGTCCAGAAAAGATCTTGTGAAATATGCAATCCAAGATTTTTAATCGTTTTACAAAAAGGAAGTGGTAAGCCATTAAATGTTACGGGTGGCAAGGTAAGGAAGTCAATCAGTGACAGAATTCTAGGGCTACCCACCAAGATGATTTGGGTTTTAGAGGGATTAATAAGCAGCCCGTACCGTTCCGTCCAATGTCTAATATTGTCAAGGTCGAGAGACAACTTTTCTATAGTATCCACTAGATCAGCCCGTTTTGTAGTGATATATAGCTGCAAGTCATCAGCATACAGATGGTACTTGCTGTGCTCAATGATACGAGATATAGTATTTATAAATATGGAGAAAAGTAGAGGTGAGAGCACCCCACCCTGGGGGACGCCTGCAGATACATTATGCCAGTTTGAGAAACGGTCGTCCACATTTATGCGCTGACTTCGATCATTTAAGTAGGAAGTGAACCACTGGACGACATCGGTGGACATGTTAAGAGAGCTCAGAATGCAAATAAGTATTTCATGGTCAACACAGTTAAAAGCATTACTGAAATCTAGTAGCGCTAGTAGAGTCAGTTGTGTGTCATCCATACCACTGCGAATATCATCCATAATCTTGATTAGAGCCGTACAGGTGCTATGCCCTGGACGAAAGCCAGATTGGAACGGGTTCAGTAGTTTATGGGATCTAAGGTAGCGCATTAACTGAAATTGAACTACCCTTTCCAGGACCTTAGACAAGAATGGAAGAATGGAAATGGGACGATAGTGAGAAAGTTCCGTAGGGTCTGAAATTTTAGGGAGCACTAAAACTTTTCGCTGAGAGCATAATTACTAAACTGCTTGTCGATAGGAAGCCGTGACAGCTCAGTGTCCGGGCGCTCGCCTTTAATTCAATATACTCGAGCAACCTGAGCTCGATCCCCGGTGCCGGCACCAATGAAGTTTTTAACTTTAAGTGCTGAATTATTACATGCTCCGCGATGAAGGAAAACATTATGAGGAAACCTTCATATTTTCGAAATAATAACAAAAAAAATATTTTTCGAAGATATGTGAAGTCCGCCAATCCGCAGTGGGGCCGCATGGTGTATAGAGGAGGCCTTTGCCCAGCAGTGGGACATGTATAGGCTGTTACTTACTACCTACTTATCGATAGGGTGACCACTCGTAACAGGATAAACAAACAATGTTTGAACCGATATTTTTCTGGTTTCTTCTTGTCAAATTAAAATATTATTTTTTTTTGTTTTAAATTGTTGAATGCTTAATTAACATTATGTCAAAGTATATATATACTTCATCTACAAATCTAAAATATCACCCTGTATATGCGTGTAGTGTCAAATACATTATAGTGTGTGTAACGTTTTCTTTATTATATTTTGTTCATAATTTAAAGAAAAATATTAGCGTCGTGCTCTAATTCTCTATATAAACTATAGGTGTGGGAAATTTCAAACTCCTCCGTCCGCGCAATCTTCGTAAAAAGGGGGTACAAAGTTTTTGCTCCACGTATTAATATATAGATAATTGATGACTCCGTGGCGCAGTTGCCAAGGTATTGGCTTCGACGTCGGGGGTCGTGGGTTCGATTTCCACGCGGGATAACTATTTGTGCGACTGACTCGCTTCGCATCTGGGCGTTTGTCCACGTGACGTTTACTTATGTAAAACGTTCTTACAAACAACACGGCACAGCGTTATCCTAGAGTGAGGGCAACGTTTAAAAAACAATAGGTATTAATCATTATTCGTCCTCACCGTGAATCGAGCCGAAGTCCCTCCATATCCTGAAATCGGTGTCCGACGGTATGAGGCCGGATTTGAACAGGGCCTCGCCGAAGCTCTGCGCGTTGGGCCGCTGTGCGACGAGCCGGTAGGCCGCCAGCGATCGACTATCGGACACCTGCGGATCGATAAGGGTCACCGGCAACCGGACCCTGAACGGCCTTTGCTACGCGATCCCACCGATATTGGATGATCCCGTGGCGCAGTTGCCAAGGTATTGTCTTCGGCGTCGGGGGTCGTGGGTTCGATTCCCACACGGAACAACTATTTGTGTGACCCACAGATAGTTGCTTCGCATCTGGGTGTTTGTCCGCGTGAAAAGTTTGTTTGTAAAACGTCCTTACGACACAGGATAATGTTATCCTAAAGTGAGGGCAATGTTTTTTTTTAAAAAAAAAGAAAGGAAGAAAGATATAAAGGGTTATACAGGGTGGCTTTTATAAAGGTGCCCAAATTCACACAGGCGGTTCAGGCGCGGTAGTATAATCGTTTATTGAAATAAAAACAAAGTTTTTTTTTTTTTTTTTTTTTCAAATAATTGACATTCTATCCCTAAAAAAACAGAACTCGTTGAAAATGCGGTAGTCATATACTTTTGAAACGAACTTGTGTGCGTGTTAGTTTTGAATGATCGCACGTAAAATAAATGAGTTGCCCATAAATCACGCACTTTCTCAGATAAGTTACAATGAATGTAATAAATTAATTACGAGTGATTTTAAATAGAATTTAATAAAAAAAATGGATACACTTAAAAAGCCTCCCTGTATAGACGACGGGCATCTTAACAGAGCACACGCAGAATTTGATTCTAACGCCCAGTTTCTGAAACACCGATCATCGTAGCAGTCAACTAATCAGTTGTCAAATGGCTTTTCAAATGGTATTTGAGTTTTGTTAAACTTTTTGAATTGATCATTCTAATCATTAAGATCATTCTGATCAATTCAGAGAGTTTAACAATCCTTTTGGTAACTAAAATATCATTTTAAAAGTGATTTAACAGCTGATTAGTTGACTTCTACGATGATCAGTTTTTCTGAAACCGGACGTAAATCTGAATCTGGTACGTACTTGTCATTTTTTTTTTTTCAAAGATTATTTTTAAATTTTTCAAACTTTATGGACCCCATTAGAAATTCCTGCCTTACTGTCTTAATGCAATAAACTATTCACGAGCCCTAAAACTTTTCGCTGAACGCATAATTACTAAACCGCTTATCAATAGGGTGACCACTCTTAACGGGATAAACAAACAATGTTTGAATTGATATTTTTCTGGTTATTACTTGTCAAAATAAAATATTTATATGTTTTTTGAACTACGGAATGCTCAATTAACATTAGGTAAAAGTATGTACTTTGTCTAAAAAATCACCCTGTATACAGCGTGTCGTTACCATCGCGACAATAAATGAACACACATATAGGAGATAACTTTTTAAAGTTGTATTAAACATTTAAATTCTTTAAACATCAATATTTACAGAGTTATAAAATTTTCCAAAACAAAGAATTTTAGAACACCCTTACCTATAAACGCGTAACGTAAAGTTCATTTGTAAAGGTCACAAAGCATATGAATGGGTTGAATGAATTTAAAAGAGACAAAACATACTGTTAGAAGGAGAGGTTTGTAATGCGAGCTGTGGCGCGAGTGGTATAGGATGTTACAAATTTTGTTTCTTTTTTACTTAATTAGTTTTTTGAAAAATATTTTTTTTAATTATGTATTTTGTTTAACGTTAATATTTTTTTATGATTATTGGCAAGTAGCGTTAGACGTGTGTTCATTTATTGTCGCGATGGTAACGACACGCTGTATATATAAAATAATTAATATATGTATATTTTTGATCTGCACAGTTTTTGCTGTAGGGAGAAAGCGATAAGGTTGTAGATGTGTTGCTTTAAATACAGTTGGCCCCGGCTACCTCACTCCACTTCCACTTCACGCCGGTCCCGTTCGTGCAAAGACTGTTGCGTGGCCCTACCAAAGAAGAGTTGCTCCTTCCCCCCTTTCTCACTTCTATTCTAGAGTTGATGCCTCGGTGGCGCAGTCGCCAAGGTGTTGGCTCCGACACCAGATGTCATGGGTTCGATCCCCACACGGGACAACTATATATTTATAAATGAAACTAATTTTACGGATTTATCGCGTTTATTTTTAATTTTAATTCCCGACGTTTCGAACCCTTTACAGCGTTCATGGTCACGGGACAGACTAAATTAAAAATAAAAAAATTAAAAATAAACGCGATAAATCCGTAAAATTAGTTTCATTTATAATGTGTAATCGCGTAAATACAAGAAATAACTATATATTCGTCCGCGTAACATGTATGTTTGTAAAACGCTCTTACAAAACACGATAATGTTGTCCTAAAGTTAGGGCAATTTAAAACAAAAAAAGTAAAAAATATAATTCGAGACCTGGAAGACGGCCGGTTTCCCGTTCATCCCGGCCGCGTCCAAATTGACCACGCTGGTGATGCCGGTAGCCCAGCGGTGCTTCAGGAACCCATGGCTGCCCTGGAAGGGAAATCGCCACATAAGAGACAAACGACCGAACACAGACGTCTATTACGACCCGATTGGCATAGTGGGTAGTGTACCTGCCTCCTGCGCCAGAGGGTGTGGGTTCGATCCCCACTACGGGAAAAATATTGTGTGATGAACATAGTGTTTTTCCAGTGTCTGGGTGTTTATGTATTTATAATATGTATGTATTTACAAAAAAAAGTATGTTTATGTACGTTTATCAGTTATCTAGTGCCCATAGTACAAGCGTTGCTTAGTTTGGGACTAGAAAACGTGATGACGATGAAATGATGAAAAAATATAATAAATAAATATTTCAGGATACATTTTTATATACTGAAATATTTATTTATTATTATTATTGTTAAAGGTTAAGTAACTAATGAACACTTTCATATGGTGCTTCAGGAACCCATGGTTGCTCTGGGAGGTAAATCGCTAAATAAGTAACAAAGGACCGAACACAGAGACGACTATTAACTGTACAGTAACTCATGATTACTTTCTTTGTTAAATTGCAGCCAAGATATAAGTTAAAAAGGATCAAATTCAATATCATCATGCAAACTGTAGAACTACCCGCAATTGCATTAAACAGGCTTTTAGTATACTTTTTACTTCTACGCGATGTCGCAATCACCTGCAGTGGATTCTCTTCGGCGCCGTTGAAGAGGAAGACGATGTTGTGCCTCAACTTCTTCCTCCTTCTGGACAGCTTGCTCAAGGTCTCCAGCATCACGGCGCAGAAGACGCCGTTGTCCGACGCGCCTGAAGGTAGGTGGTGGCTACGTTTGCTTTAGTGAGCTGACGGTTCACCTGACGTTAATGCCCGGTCATAACGGCTTGCAGATTAAAGGAACGCTAGCGACTCACTTGGTAATGCAACGGGTGTAAGAAAAACGCCTCGTTTTGTTTATATAGGAACCGGGCGTACACGCCTTTTATCTACGAGTCGTTACGAAAGTTACGAAGCTATGGAGCTAACGGCCGTTCGTTGAATGTAGGAATCGGGCATAGGTGATAACCGCCGCCCATTGACATTTGCAATATCTGTACGGTTGCAGATGCGTTGCCACCTTTAAATAAAGCTGGCCCCGGCTACCTCACTCCCCAGACGAAACGCAGAAGTGTAACACTTCTACTTTACGCCGGTCTTCTGTGAGGTCGTGGTACTAACCCGGACGGACCTGAACATTAAATTTATGCAACAGCGAACATGTTGCATGGCCCTACCACAGTTAAACGTTCGTTTAATTTTGGCATACCCAACGACAAATAACCACCACCGCAGTTGACAGACCAACCAGAGCCATATAAAGCTTTTAAGGTAGGAATAGTCTATAAAGAATAGAATACAGTAATCTCTTCTACGAGGACCGAGACCAGTAAGAGGTTCTGAGGTATAAATAGTCCCTCTTCTTCTAATAGTGGTCCTATGAGGTCTTTAAAGTTTTTTTTTTTTTTTTTTTTTTTTTTTTTTTTTTATGCGAAAAGTTGTCAAACGAGCAGACGGTTCACCTGATGTTAAGTGAATACCGCCGCCCATAGACATCTGCTACACTCGAGGGTTACAGATGCGTTGACAACCTTTTGAAAATTGGGCTCCGGCTACCTCACTCACCAGACGAAACGCGAAAGTATTTGTCATACTTCCACTTTACGCCGGTCTTCTGTGATGTCGTGGTACTTACCCGGACGGGCCTGCCCATTCGTGCAACAGCCGAGGCTGCTGCGTGGTCCTACCACCGTAAGTCTCTCTTCTTTCAGGACTAAGACCAGTAAGAGTTTCTAAGGGAGAAATAGTCTCCCCGATTCGTTTTGACCCGTCCGATTGTTTAAGCAGTATCTAGTATATTAAGCGAGTAAGAACATTCGTTTATTGCATGCTGTGTTTCATATAAGTAATGATGGCAATTTGCTCGTGTTTCAATATTTATTCATTGTACTTATTGTTGAAAATCGGCCAAGTGCGAGTCGTCTACACATATTTATAAAAACGGGAAAAAGTCGTGCCTGTTGTATGAAAGCCCCACTTAAACAGTTTTATTGTTCCGTTTTTTAATATTTGTTTTGTTATAGCGGCAACAGAAAAACGTCATCTGTGAAAATTTCAACTGTGCAACTGTCACGATTCGGTGAACGGTCCAAAAGGGAAGAGACGATGAAGGGATAGAGGAAGACCCTATGCAAGATGCCAGGATGACATCATCAAGACAGCGGGACCAAGCTGGATACAAGTGGCCCAAAATAGAGATCATTGGCTTTCTTTGGAGGAGGCCTTCACCCGAGGAGGGGTCCTTGCAAATAAACATAAACAATAATATTTAAAAAAAATTTAAAACAAAATTACAAAAAAAAAATCAGTAAGCAGATTTAGCGTAGTAGATTGTAAGATTTTATTGTTCATGTATAATTTTTTGCAAGAAATACAAAGGCTTAAAAAAAAGAAAAAAAAAACTGTCACCATTCATGAGATACAGCCTGGTATCAGACGGTCAGATAGACAGCGAAGTCTCATGAATAGGGTCCCGTTATACCCTTTGGGTACGGAACTCTAAAAACCAAATCACTACATAATATAAAACAAAGTCGACCCGCTGTTTGTCTGTCCCTATTTATGCTTAGATCTTTAAAACTACGCAATGGATTTTGATGCGGTTTTCTTTAATAGATATCGGATTCAAGAGGAAGGTTTATATGTATAATTCATGCATAATATACAGCGTGTCGTTACCATCGCGACAATAAATGGACACACGTCTAAAGCTACTTGCCAATAATCATAAAAAAATATTAACGTTAAAAAAATCCATAATTAAAAAAAAAAAATATTTTTCAAACAAAATAATTAAGTAAAAAAGAAACAAAATTTGTAACATCCTATACAACTCGCGTCACAGCGTCGCATTACAAGCCTCTCCTTCTAACATTATGTTTTATCTCTTTTAAATTCATTCAAGCCATTCATATGCTTTGCGACCTTTACAAATGAACTTTACGTTACAGTTTTATACTTAAGAGTGTTCTAAAATTGTTTGTTTTGGAAAATTTAATAACTCGGTAAATATTGATATTTGAAGAATGTAAATGTTTAATACAATTTTAAAAAGTTATACTCTATATGTGTGTTCATTTATTGTCGCGGTGGTAACGACACGCTGTATACATATATAGTTGGGCATGCATTCATACATTATAAATATAGTAGAGAAACACTGATAATTTTAGAGGTTTCTAATGCAATGTCGATAACAAACATTCAGCATTGCACCCGTGCGAAGCCGGGGCGGGTCGCTAGTATATAAATAAATGATAAAATATGTTAATGACATCGTCATCTCACCGATGGCGAACGGCACCGAGTCGTAGTGACAGTTGACCAGCAGGGCCGAGCCGGTGCGCCCGTCGGGATCGAACCCGCTCCCGCCCTCGAGCACGGCCACCAGGTTCGACAGGTTCTGGTAGCTGGACGCGTGGGGAGTGCTGAACTCGATCCAGAAGTCGCCTGCAGACGCCAACATACGCCCATGAGGAAATTTCGGTTGTACTAGGGTCGCACCAATAATGTATCTAATCGTAATGATCATTGACGACCCGAATGGCGTTGTGGGTAGTGTACCAGCCTCCTGCGCCGGAGGGTGCGGGTTCGATCCCCACTACTGGATAAATATTATGTGACGAACATAGTGTTTTTCTAGTTCTCACCCAGACAGGTGTTAATATATGTATAATATGTATTTATTTACAAAAAAAAGTATGTTTATCAGTTTTCTAGTACCCATAGTACAAGCATTGCTTAGTTTGGGACTAGAGAATGTTGTGCAAAAATGTGTCCTAAAATATTTATTTATTTATTATATCAAAAGTGGTAAAAAAGTAACAGAGTATACATGTCCCACAGCTGGGCAAAGGCCTCCTTTGTACAGATGGCATTATATTATTAACTTAAAATAAAATACGTAGATACGTGCCCAAGATTTTGCAGCGTGAGGTCACGGCGGCTTAGCAAATTCAAATATCTTTATTCAATATAGAAAGCATTACACTTAGTTATTGAGTGTCAAAATACGCTACAAGAGTTCAGTGACATACTAATCTAAAAGTTGAACTTTTTTGTTCTTTAATCACTCAGCTTCTTGATGTACATGCCCCATGGCTTTCTGATGACTTAAAAGGGCAAATATTAAGGAAAAATTTAGCTCTGTCCAAACTAAAAAGAAATAAAACTGAGGAAAATCAAATGAAATATGCCAAAATTAGGAATCGCTGTAATACCCAATGTATTAGAGATGCACAACGACGCCATATCCATACATCAGTCGAGAACGGAAATTCAAATATCTTTATTCAATATAGAAGCATTACACTTACTTATTGATTGTCAAAATACGCTACAAGAGTTCAGTGACACACACACGTACAAAAGAATCACTAAATAGTATAAAACAAAATCGTCCCGCTGTCTTTCTGTTCCTACGTATGCTTAGAACTTTAAAACTACGCAACTGATCTTGATGCGGTTGGTTTTGAATAGAAATTGCATTGGGCGAGTCACTAGTTATACTTATAAAGAAGATTTAACACACAAACGTTCCTTTACATGTTTAAGATTAGATTAGATTTAGCAACAGATTCATTTTGAACGTAATTATGATATGTAATAGGTACTATGTTCAGCAGTGGACTCGCAACTGATGGAGAAGATTATAAATTTTTGTTCCTATGCAATGCATTTATGCCAACCAAACTCACAAGACACGAACTGCCAATCGGTTCTCACTGGCAAGTTGGCTTCCGCCGCTATGGAGTCGAGCATAGACTTCAGGTCTACCGTCTTTTCCAGATGATACTTCGTCCCCGCCACCCTGGGGCCGTTTCCCAACAGCTGGTGGAGGTACTTCTTCGCCGACTCTTCGCTGAAGGTCTTCGCATCCTAGAAGGAGGGAGAAGGTTCATTTTGACGAACGCTTCTGCTTTTTCAACCTTCTTCAAAAGTAGGAGGTTCCCAATTCGATCGATTTTTTTTATGTTTGCTACGTCAGAACTTTTGACGGAGTGAATCGATTTTGATGATTCTTTTTTTATTTGAAAGCTGATACTATCCATGTGATCCCATATTAATTTCATTGGTATTGGATCTTGGGCTCCGGAGATACGTAGGGAACTCCAGAAAATGAATTATAAAATGAATACAGAGCGAGATGTTTGAAGTCAGTTTTGTTTTGCGTTAGTAAAAAGATGGTTATTTGTGTATTTAATAGAGTGAGCCCCGGCTACGTCACTCTCCAGACGAAATGCAGAAGTGTAACGCTTCCACTTTCGGTCTTCTTTGAGATCGTGTTACTTACGCGGACGGACCTGCACATTCATGCAACAGCTGAAGCCGTTGCGTGGCCCTACCACAGTTAGAACAGGCGACATAGTGACGAACACTTCACAAGTTCACAGCATCCATGGTATAGGCTAGAAGGAGACGTCTAATTTATGTTAAAAGTTGTCAAGCGAGCGGGCGACTCACCTGATATTAAGTGGATACCGCCGCCCATGGACATCTGCTACACCCGAAGGTTTGTAGATGCGATGACTACCTTTTGACAATTCGGCTCCGGCCACCTCACTCACCAGACGAAACGCGAAAGTATTATACTACCACTTCACGCTTTCTGTGAGGTCGTGGTACTTACCCGGAAAGGCCTGCCCATTCGTGCAACAGCCGAGGCTGCTGCGTGGCCCACCAGTTAGGATACTTGATATTGGGATTGCACTTACTTTTTTATGTATCTCACTCTCGAGTATAGGCCGAGGCATGTCATCTTCTATCAGCTGCGCCAGATAGCCAACCGTGAGGTAGGCGCCAAGGAGCAATAGTAAGAACATACTGGGCACCTACAAGTGACTTGTACCTTTATTCTGTTAGTCGAGTTGCTTTTAGGGTTCCGTACCCAAAGGGTAAAACGGAACTTTATTACTAAGACTTCGCTTTCTGTTCGCCTGCCCATTCGTGCAACAGTGAACACTGTTACGTGGCCCTACCACAGTTGTAACAGTTGAGAAGTAAACTAACTTGTGTAGTTATCAAATAAATACTTACAGAAATACATTTCAACTAAGTATATAACGAACGAACCCCCAAAAGAAGTGATTTCATATCAATAGTAATCATAATTATTACTTATAAAACTTATAATAAATAAATAAATATTTCTGGAAATATTATTCACGGCGTTATCTAGTCCTAAACTAAGCAACGCTTGTACTATGGGAACAAGATAACTGATAAACACACTTGAACATATTATAGATTGTATAAACACCCAGACAAAAGCAAAACACTAATTATATCAATATCATATACACAACTACATATATCTATCACACAATATTTCTCTAGTAGTGGGAATCCAACCCATACACAGGCGCAAAACACAGGTTGAATATCCACTACGGCAATTGGCTCGTTGTACAAACACTTCCCTGTTAGTAACCCTTTATTACTAGATGAGTTTAGTAAAGTAACAGCCCATACATGTCCCACTGCTGGGCAAAGGCCTCCTCTATACAGAGGGTATCAGGGCATAGTACACCACGAGGCCCCACTGCGGATTGGCGGACTTCACATATTTTCGGAATATTTTATTTTGTCATTATTCGAAAATATGCAGGTTTCCTCACGATGTTTTCCTTCACCGCGGAGCACGTGATAAGTCAGCACTTAAAGTTAAAAACTTGATTGGTGCCGGCACCAGGCATCGAACTCAGGTTGCTCGAGTATATTGAATTAAAGGCGAGCGCCCGGACACTGAGCTATCACGGCTCTAGATGAGTTTAATTAAGTATAATTAAAATATAACGCATTGAGACTTGTTTGTGTTCGAACTCTTTTGTTAAGTTATGGAAACCTAAACCAGAACAACATTAAGGTCACTCACGGGTTTCGTGGGATCGGAACATCGCGAGATCTTTCCCCGAGCTTGATTTAACCTCTAGAAAACAGATAACGTTGACAGACTTTACAGGCGCACCCTGAGATCACATTTAGCTAACTAGCGTTAAATTGGTACGATCTTATGGACATGGATATAATGGAATGACAACTCCGCGGCACAGTTGCCAAGGTAATGGCTTCGGCGTCATGATGTTATGTGGTAACCGCCGCCCATTGAAATCACAACAGCCGTAGGGTTGCAGATGCGTTGCCACCCTTTGATAAGGTGGGCCCCGGCTACCTCACTCACCAGACGAAACGCAGAAGTGTAACACTTCCATCTTCCTCTGTGAGTTCGTCGTACTTAGCCGGACGGACATGTCCATTCGTGCAACAGGCCTACCACAGTTGCTTCAGGACTGATGCGGAACAACCTAGATCCAGGGCAGAACTCAACAGCCCGAAAAATAAAAACAAAACGAGTTCTACTTAGAAGTAGAACAGGTTATTGTCAGAATAATAGTTTTATTTCACGATAAGTTAAATGTAGTCAAGACGACAATCGTCTCTGGGTGCGGTAGTGTGGGTCCAATTAAAACTGTCTGGGTATTCGACGAACTCCATTGCAGTAAGTTGGAGAAACTGGTCTGGACAGAATAAGTCCTAATTGGTCGATTTGACTGGTGTATATTACGAAGTCCTCACCTTCTGCCATGGTTTCTCATACTCCTCTTCGTCTATTTCCAGCGACGGTAGACCGGCAAGTTGGTGACTCCTTCTCTGAAAGTCGTTCAAAAGTTCAATTGTGTTGTTAGCGAACTTTAATTTCCAAACTGTTTCAAATAGAAAATCTGCTTCTGTATTAAAAATGATAGGTTCATATGTGTATATTATACAACAGGCTTGTATTCTTACTGTGTGTGGAGGGGGTTGGGTACTAATTTCCAATGACCATTGCAAGCTACAATGCTCTATTGTAGATTTGACCCTTTTTAAACATTGGTCCTTTACTTTAGAATAACTTTATAAAACACCACCCAGATCGGAAACAATTATCTGTGTTTCACACAAATAGTTGTCTTTTATGGGAATCCCCCGGTGCGGAAGCCAATTTGGTGACTCATTTTCACTCAAATTCACATATATGTGATACAAATTATACAATGAAGTCAAGGGAAAATTTAGTGTGGTGTCTCACATTTCTTCCAGGATAGGCAAAGTACCAGTCTTATTTGTAGTGATTTCCCGAATGAGCCTGCAAATTCATACAGCAGTAGAAGTTACAGTTTGTCTCTACCATAGTGTAATTCACAACACATAGGACAAATATTAAGAAAAGCCACACATACCATTGGCATATTTCTGTTTCTACTGTAGCGGTCATTTTCCTCTGTGTCCATGTTTATTAGTAACAGATATATTTAGTGCTTGATGCTAACTTATTGTTGACCAAATATATAATTGTTCATTCAAATTGTTACTAAAAAAAATCATTAATTATGTTAAAATAAAATATGATAACAGAATTACATTTATAACTTAGAACTGGAAGATTTTTTTAAGTATGGGTATTGCTTCCGCTGTAATGATGAAAAAGAATGCCAAACTTTTTAAGAAACCACTTTCTAATAGATTGCCTTAACTTATTGGTTTTAAATTACTTGAATCCTGATGATTCATTTTATAAGATTATAAATGTTCACCTCATTCAAGTAGCCAATGTTCAAACAAATAAAAGATTTTTTAGTTCAGTTTGTTGTTGAGAATATCAAGGACCAAATCTACATTAAGGTTAATTTCTTCATTCCATACCATTTCTTCATCAATCAGACACATTATCTAGCTTGAATCCAAAAAGGAAAAACTTTATCATATTTACCTATGTACTGTTGTTAAAATTATTAAATATATACCCCTTTAATTTTTTTAATCCTGAACACCGGTAAATTTTGCTTGCAAACGATAATGTGAACTTTTAAGAAAAAAAAAACATACAGTAAATTACTTCGTTTAATGTTTCTTCCACTTTTTAATACAAATTAAAAAAGTAAACAAAGAAATCCCTTATCTGACATTTGACAATTGAGTATTGACTTGACATTTATTTTATAAGTGTTGCCAGTCTTAAAATTAACAAAGTTACCAGCTACAACATAACTACAAGCTTCGATACTGTAATGATAGAAGGACTTAAATAGAATTACGGTGAAACGACCGAAATAATTTTATTCCGAGAAGAATCAATACGCCACCAAAAATTAACTAACTTAACATAAATTGAATAACAATTTGAGTATTTTCCTCTAATAAAATAAAGATTTTCTCCATAACTGATTATTTCTCTTCAATCGCACCTTTCACAATATTTATTATTTTATGAAAATGTATCCATATACAATTCAATACTTAACTGTCGTAGGGCCACGCAACAGTTTCGGCTGTTGCACGAATGGGCAGATCGGTCCGGGTAAGTACCACGATCTCACAGAAGACCGAGCGGTGAGACTTCTGCGTTTCGTCTAGTGAGTGAGGGAGTCTGGGGCCAGTTTATTAAAAGGTGGCAACGCATCTGCGGCCCTACGAGTGTTGCAAATATTCATGGGCGGCGGTTATCACTTAGTATAAGTTGAACCTTCACCTCGCTTGCCACCTTCTCTCATAACAAAAACGTTCCAAAAGTCGATGTACATAATGAAAATATAAAAAAAATATATTTTTCGATATAGATAACTATCAGTCATCACATACAACAATTATTATTACACATAAAGAAACGATTATTTTTCTTATGTGATGCAGTTAAAAATTAAGCTTAACATTGTATTCCGTATATGCATTTAAATTAAAGATAAATACAACATCGAATAAAAAACTTCCTTTAATTAGAACGGTATCCTAGCAAAACTAGCATTACAATAAAATATTAAAATTAAACCCAAAAAAACATAACTTATATAATGTACAAGCAGAAAAAAAGAGGAAAGAAAAAATAAATATTTATTGTTTAATTATGCGGCTAGTATAATTTTCTTTATTATACTTTTTAAATACTGAAAAGGCACGGTTATTAACAAAAAAATATCCTTCGAGCCGGATTTGAACCAGCGACCTATGGATGACGGTTAATTGCCAACTACAGTCCACCGCTCTACCAACTGAGCTATCGAAGGGATACGACTTGTACCGAAATTGTTGTATGGAATGTATTTATATCTCGTAATAACTATTACGTTTAGTTTCCTAAAATATGTTTATTCAATAATTAAAAAAGGCTTTGGATTTAGAATTACAAATTCGCATTTTATATCGGATGATATAAAATATAGTTGTAAATTTAATAATAATAGTCATTCTAAAATATACGTCCGTTATTCCTCTATGTAGATTTTTTATACTTATTTAAATGTGTAAAATCTTAATTGGCTTTTTGTATTTGTTTTCCAATACTTTAATTATGTGCTAGCTATTAGATTCCCTACAATTGTACGGTATAATAATAAGATATATTGAAAAAAAAAAATCTTTCAGAAGAAAAAAGAAATCAACATGAAATGCAGATCTGTATATTAAATTAATCCAGTTTATCGGTAATTAGAAAGAAATATATAAAAATATTAACTATTTCTATCACGCAACTTAGGTACGCAAAGATTAAAAAAAAAATAAAAAAGCTTTGAATATTACAATTTTTAATGTATTATAGGCCTATTCTTTTAGTAGGTAGAGCAAATTGTTTTCATTGGCAATTGCGATTCATGAATTAGCGTTATACAGCGTGTCGTTACCATCGTGACAATAAATGAACACACGTCTAACGCTACTTGCCAATAATCATAAAAAAATATTAACGTTAAACAAAAATTCATAATAAAAAAAATATATTTTTCAAACAAACTAATTAAGTAAAAAAAGAAACAAAATTTGTAACATTACAAGCCTCTCCTTCTAACAGTATGTTTTGTCTCTTTTAAATTCATTCAACCCATTCATATGCTGTGTGACCTTTACAAATGAACTTTACGTTACAGTTTTATACGTAAAGGTGATCTAAAATTCTTTGTTTTGGAAAATTTTATGACTCTAAATATTGATGTTTAAAGAATGTAAATGTTTAATACAATTTTAAAAAGTTATCCCCTATATGTGTGTTCATTTATTGTCGCTATTGTAAAGACCCGCTGTAGATTAGGTAGTGTTAATTTATAAATATCTTCGAGCCTGAATGTTCTGCCTTTCAGAAGGATTTTTCTTCAGATTTCTTTCAATGAAGGATTTCTTTAATATGCATTCAGACACCGACAACTTGATTAAAATATGCTAATTGTATTGCATTTATTCGGTTCATACGCCATGAAGAATTTTATTTAAGGCGTGAAAGTGGAATTATTACATACTTTTCTTAGCACTTTTTAAATATTGGAAGGGTATCTAAAACCTTTCAGGTGCTGTAGACGAATATCACAAAATAATAATTTATTACACACTTATATTTTACTGATATGATATAAATTTGAATTTATTATTGACGTGAACCCACGTGAATTGAATATATTACACTGCACTAGGTCTAGTTACTGAGGTGACAAGGGGCATCTTTTCTAAATGCTGATATAGCGTTGGCAACCCCACAGATTTTCCAGACGGTGGTACTCACCCAACATCAGGTGAACCGTCAGCTTAAATAAAAAACCGACCAAGTGCGAGTTCGACTTGCACACGTAGGGTTCCGTAATATCACTAAATGATGTCTGTCTGTCCCTATGTATGCGTAGATCTTTAAAACTACGCAACGGATCTTGATGCGGTTTTTTTACTACATAGAGTGATTCAATAGGAACGTTTTTATGTATAATACATCGCACTCGTGCGAAGCCGGGGCGGGTCGCTAGTTATCTATAGAAACTGCAAAAAGCATGTCTGTTGTATGGGAGCCCAACGTAAATATTTTTATTCTGTTTTTTAATATTATTTCTTATAGCGGCAAAAGAAATACATCATCTGTAAAAATTGCAACTGTCTATCAGGATTCATGAGATCAGCCTAGTGAAACTGAGACAGATAGTGGAGTCTTAGTATTAGGGTCCCGTTTTACGCTTTGGCTACGGAACCTTAGGGTACCAAAATCCACAGAATAAAAGGTTTTTATTTTTAACTCATAAATAACACAAACATTTAGGTACTCAATGTTTTATTAATATTATGCTCACAATCTAAGTACAGTGTATAGATTTAGCTACCAAATAAATTAAAAACCTGGCAACTTCTATATATAAAACTCAACCAATCACCCATTTACGAAGAGTCGATGGTAAGGCAGTTTTAGCTGTATGTTCTTTTAATTAAACAAAAATACCCAACAACATCTTAAAAATCACAAATTCGGCACTAGAAATATTGCTTACAATCTTTTCTAGATCTTTGTATGTGATGCACTAAAAAGTTTTTGCAACCCAAGCTTTCTTTTGTGTTTTAAATCTATAACTTAAAAAAAAACTGATGTGATTTTTGGTTCAGTGTTGATTTAATTTTTCCAATGTCAACTTTTCCTGCCTTAAAGGCGGTTTTGTTGTAGCTTAAAAATATTTTACAAATGTAAAGCTGGATTTTAGAAATAATACAGATAACCTAATGTAAAAATGACTGGCTGCTCGTTATAGATTATACAAGTAATTTACTTATTAAAAATGTAATTTTATTTATAGTAAGCTTATACATTAATAAATCGTAACTAAATATTTATAATTAATCTTTTTATACACCATTATTTACAGGAAAATTTATATACATCGAAAGAACAGATCTCAACGAACGGATACATAATACATACGAAGACGGTTAATAAAGGAAACGCGAAATTAAGTACAAATTCTATAATTAAACGTAAAACTAATGGTAAACATCACATAATAGCGATAAATTCTTTAAAAACGTCGTGCCTTCAAAAGTGTCAATGTGTGCAATTCTGTATTATATCATAAAAATGTACATAAATTTTGTAATTACACGCACAATTTCACAATTTGTCCATCGGGTGATAAGAAAACGCATATCACGATAATGCCCGTAGTAAGAAAGCCGACACGACATACATTAGTGAACTCTTACCCATAAGATCTTGGCAAGACGAAATTTACTATAACTAAGATACAATTTGCACTATCCCACTCACCTCCGTGAAGCCTTTAATAAGACCGCGATGCTTTGGGAAACCTTGTCTGTTTTTTTATTTCCATAGGACTTAATGTCAATTAAATGCTAGTTCGTACTTTGAGTACGGACGAAATTAATCCGTAACTGTCGATCCGTCAATGGAAAAAATACTTTATTGGACAATCATATTACAATGTTTCAGCCAAAATAATGAGATACAGATAAATAATACTATTTCCCTGACAGACTTTTCAACTAAGCTTTGAACAGTTGATTTTGGGATATTGGAAGTATGTACAATCCGTGGATTTTATTCAACAGGGAGTTTTTTCAGCATGCTGGATTATGTTTTGTTCGAAACGGTGGTAGGTACAAAAATAGGAGCTTGGTTAAGAAAACCTTAAATTTTTTATCCAACAAGATATTGCAATCGTGCACACTCAAACATTAGCTTTTCCATCAGTTGGATTGTTATGTGTTTCAAGATCCATTACGAAATAAGTCCCTTTGATTTCCTCTCGAGAGCTAAACGTTCCATCTGGCCGAAAGGAATCTTCACTAGGGCACGAGCAAACCGCATCGGCGTCGGCTTCGAGTCCTCCGTCCCCCTCCGGCGGGGGCGATTAGGTGAGACGGCACTAGGGCGAGGGGGGCAGGCTGTCGTCGCTCTCCAGGTACGTGACGTAGTTGTCCTCGCCGCCCTGCGCGGGGCGCGGGGGCGGCAGGGAGGGCACGTCGTAGCCGTGCATCTGGGGAAGAGGGCGTTCGGGTCTCACTGCGGCAGAGAAGCAGCCCCTGCTGAGGGAAAAGGCCGGGGAAGTACCGCGCCCTCTGAGTGAGGGAACCTCTATTATCTGGAGGAATAGGGCGTTTGGCTCTCGCCGTGGCAGAGAAGTAGACTTGCATAAAAGCTCTTATTAAGGGAAAAGACCGGGGAAGTACCACGCCCTATCTGAAGGTACGAGTGTTTAGGCTTTTTCATTTCGCCCGGTGAGTTAGGGACTCTCAGTTGGAATCTCTAGCTGTGCATCTAAGGGAGGGTGTTCAAACTCTCACTATGGCAGAGGAACGGACTGCTGTAACAGCCCCTGCGAAGGGAAAAGGCTGGTACCGCGCCCTCTCTGAAGGACGAGTATTTATGCTTTTTCACTTCGTCACGGGACGAAATAAGAAAGTGTAAATTCTTTACTATGGTAGGGTGACATCAGCGCCGTTTGAACAAATAGGCATAGTTCTCCTGAGTAGTACCAAGATCTCACAGAAGACCAGCGTAAAGTGGAAGTACTATACTTGCGTTCCGTCTGTTCTGAGTGACGTAATCGGGGCCCACTTTTATAAAGATTAGCAACGCATCTACAACTACTTTAGTGTTGCAGACGTCCATGGGCGGCAGTAATCGCTTAATATCAGTGAACTGTCTGCTTGCTTGACAATTTTTAAGATTAGAGAATTTTGATGGGTTGCGTCAAGTCGGTAGACAGTCGTATAGTAACTCAAGGAGACCGTTTAGTAGTTTTTGAGGTTTGCAAGATTGAAAGGAGAAACTCTACAACGATCCATTGAACTGGCGCAGGACAGAAGCAAATGGCGGCCAGTTATATATGGCCACGATCCTCATTAGTAAGGGAACGACTAAGAAGAAGATGGAGATTCTGAAGGGTCGAAGCACATTTCGGCGATGTAGAGACTTGGTGGGCAGTCGTAGGAGAGTTCTTGATGGCGGCAGATGGGGATTCGAAGGGTCGCAACATATTTGGACGATGTAAAAAGTGTAGGCATACCTGGCTGACGAGGTGCTGGAAGGCGGCGCTGTGGTGCGGCGCGCGGTCCAGGTCTGCGTGCAGCGCGAAGTCGGAGAGCGCCTTCCAGGGCGGCTGGTAGGCGGTCACCTCCAGCGGCAGCGGGCCCGCCTCGTGCCGCACCGGCGAGCCGGCCACCAGCGGCACGCCCATCGACATGTAGCCCAGCCGCCGCCCCTCCTGCGGAACGAACGCGCCTCGTAAGCCCAGTGAAGGACTGGCTTTGGCCTTATAAGCCCTAAGCTCCCTGCAAATGGCTAACTTTGGCCTTACAAGTCCTATCCTCCCAGTAAAGGTCTGAATTTGGCCTAATAAGCCCTATCCCCTCAGTGAAGGACCAACTTTGAACAACGGCTTTATGAAAGTTCGATGAGTATTTAAAATGAGTTGAGCACACAAGCTAGAATTTGATGTAATGAGTAACTACTATCGTCAATAGACAGCCACAGTTGAGAGGATAAAAATTAAAGTAAAATAGCATATACGTTTGTCCCAATAAATGGGACAGTGTGAAAAAAGTTCTTGTACCATGTACAAAGGGTATTAGGGCATCACGCGCACGGATGGTGGACTTCACATAATTTTTGAATTTTTTTTTGTTATTGTTTCAAAAAGTATGTTAGTTTCCTCACGATGTTTTCCTTCACTGCTGAGCACTTTTAAAGCCAGCACTTAAAGTCAACAATTTCATTGATTCCAGGATTTGAACTCGTGTTGCTGGAGTATTTTTGAATTAAAAACGATCGCCCGGACAATGCTCGTCTCGTTGAGAGTATAATATACGCGTAAGTCGATCTTTAATAAGACCTTCTTTATCTCGCGCAGTAAACGGAAGGTGTAGACATTTGTACAAGGCTGCGCTACCTCTCCGCAAGAGCCAAATAAATGAATGCAACAGTAAACCGACACCAGAATGTAAACGGAAACTGTTAATTCGTGTGTTTTACTTCCAAGTTCTAGTCCAAGTAAACCAATAATTATTATCGGCTTAAAGACTACAACTAAGTAATTTGGCTTTAGTATGTTTTGGTATGGTCTACTGCAATTATTAGCTAATAAACTTATGGAATTCAAAGAAAAAGGCTAGTGGAAGTAGATGTGAAGTTTCTTATGAATATGAACGAACTATGCATCCATGATTTACACAAGTTACTATAGGCATCGAACTCATGTCCATCTTGATAGCTTGATATTGAGAACCATATACCAAAGGATAAATTACCACCTTCTCCTGCTGCATTTGCATTTTGAGCTGCAAGGTCTTCTTCTTGTCCTTGCACCGTTTGTTTTGGAACCAAACCCTGATCACGCGGGGGCTGAGGCCGGTCATCTCGACCAGTTGCTCCTTCATGAGAGCATCGGGCCGGGGGTTGGCCGCGTAGCAAGTCCTGGAAGCAGGCAAAAAATGCCCAGATCAGTCTAGACCAGGAGTCAAGACTTAGATCGAATGAGACGGCTCCTTTAAAAGGAGACGGTGGCAAACGATATAGTCAATACACATGGGTGGTGCGGTTGCGTCGCTATCTTTGCCAGACCGGGTAACTAGTTTAAAATTTTTTTTTTTTTGCGAAATTTTTACATTACTCCTACATAAGAACGTTACTTCCTCGGACGAGGAGGTTGCACGAATGGGCAGGTCCATCCGGGGAAGTAGCAAGACCTCAGAGAAGACCGGTGTGAAGTAGAAGTGTTATACTTCTGCGTTTCGTCTGGTGAGTGGGGTGGCCGAAGCCCACTTTGTAAAAAGGTGGCAACGTATCTGAACCTTCGGATGTTGCAAATTTACGTGTGCGGCGGTTATCGCTTAACATCAGGTGAACCGCCTGCTCGCTTTTCACCTTCTTACATAAAAAATCATGCAACATCAGCTGATATATTGATTTCTTTCTTAGACACCAAATTTCTACTAAATACAAATGTGTGTATGAATTTTGAACTTTTTATAATGAAGCAAATTGAATTAAAATCTCTTACACATTTGTATGTAGCGTTGTATAATGTGACGTATTAATGATTAAAACAATTACTTTGTCACAACCTGACATTTATGAAATGCTCAAAAGCTAAAATTGCAGTTGAATTTAGAGCAATAAATGCTTTGTGACGCGAGGTTTAAATATTTAATTGTCATAAGTCCTCCATTATTCATTATATTTGGGTCGTAAGTATTGTTAATCATGTACCATGTTATTGTTGGATTGATTCTTTAATTATGTGTCGTACATTAACGCCCGGGTTCTGAAATTAACTAATCAGCTGTCAAATGCCTTTTCAAATGTCATTTGATTTGCCAAAATGATATTTGAACTCTCCTAATTGATCACAATGATCAATTCAAAGATTCTAACAGTCATTTTAATTTAAATGACACTTGACAGCTGATTAGTTAATTTATTCGATGATCATTGTTTCAGAAACCGGGCGTAAGTAGCTTGATGACTATTGCTAAATATACTGAAATCGTGCAGACACGTAGATAAGGTGTCGATGAATTCTGAAATAAATAAATAGTTATCAGCAATGCTCACCTCAGCGTGTGCAGTTGCTTCTCGTTGAGCACAGTGCGCACCCTGGTGGGCTTGCCGTCCGCGGCGGTCGTGGTTCGAGCCCGGCCGCTTTTGTGGGATCCTGATTCGCTACCGGAGTCTGTAAGCACCAACCGACAAAAATAAACTGCAGGGTTTTATAGTACATAACATTATTAATAATAATAATAATAATGAATTTGGGTACAAAAAAAGTGAAAAAGTGAAAAACATGTAATCATTAGAAGCCCTGTAGCCTGTGATAGTTTACAACTGTGTTACATACTGCAGTGTCTTCCCCTCATAGTTCACACTCATTGTTATTGTAAGAATATTCTTATTTCATATGAAAATGAACACAAAATGAAAACAATAAAAATAAAAATAAAAAGAAAAATGTTTCGAAACAAAGAATATGGGTTTTTGAACCGACAAAAATAAACTGCAGGGTTTTATAGTACATAACATTAAAGACTAACTTGCAAATAAATTATATACTTTTTTTTACATTATATGTAAGTTGATTGTTGGTCATGATGAAGGAGCCATCGTGAATGTGTGTAACATAAAGAGATAAATACAAATCCACTGGTTTTAAAAAGAACCATAGAGAAAGGTGTCAACGTTAAGATGACGTCATCGGTAGGTTACTCTCCTCTGATATAATTGACGAGATCATCTGATAAAGGCGGGCTGTAGATAATTACTGTGTTTTTATTTATTTGAATACGATGACGTTTAATTTAGTTTAACATAGTTTAATTTAAAATAAAAATATAATTTTTAACAAAAAAAAACCGACTTCATACCGGAAACTAAAAAAACATTGTTAGTACCGATAACATTTGAGGATGGCCCTCGATTTCTCTGGGATGCCATCATCAGATCCGGGTTTCCTTATCATGGTACCACCCTTGGGATATCTCCTTTCCAACAAAAAAAGAATCATCAAAATCGGTTCGTGAACGACGAAGTTATCCGCGAACACACATAAAAAAATAAAAGTATATACGGTCGAATTAAGAAACCTCCTTCTTTTTCGAAGAATTGGCACAAGGACGGGTCAGTTATTAATCCATTAGAAATATTCAAACGGCGGCCGTAATGGGAACGGACATCCCCAGCGAGGGGTCAGCGTTAATTAGGGGATGGATTTGGACAATACACCACTTCGCACCTCCGATAATCCCCGACGGACGTTGGGTCGTAGCTTGGGCTTAGAGAATTCATGATGACGGCATGCTCATATTGATAATTGCTCGCGTAATTTTCCACGTGGTTAGTGAAAGGTTGAAAGGGCAACACACCAATTGAATAATTAATTTTTTTGTACGTTTGTAACTATTGTAACTTAAAGAGTATCTATACGTTGGAGAGATTGTCCTTGAATCTTGTATTAAGAGCAAGAGTTATTAACAACGTCTTCTCTTAGTTTACGCCGTCCGAGTTGAGATATCTTAACTATTGTTTCAATAACGGACTACATAATGCTTAGCTTAGCGGAGACAGACTTATACATATATAAAAAGAAATTGATCTGAAAGAATTTTCTGTGGTAGGCCACACAGTAACTAAGCTTGTTGCACGAATGGGCAGGTTTGAGAAGTATCACGACCTCACAGAAGACTCGCGGGAAGTGGATGTATTATTATCGTCTGGTGTGGTAGCCGGGGCCCATTTTGTGAGTGTTGGCAACGCATTTGCAACCAGTCATAGGCGGCGGTAATCACTTAACATCACATGAACCACCAGGTTGCGTGAACTTTTCACAATAAAAAAAACACTATAATCCTTTCCATTCAATCATAATGTTACACAACAACACAACTACTTTGTGTTGTTGTTGTAAAGTGTAGATGATGACAACCATGAGCTTTTTTTTAAAAGACTTTGGCTCAAGAGACGAAAGCCAAACGTATCTTTCACATGTCGAAAAGCTGATTAAGTCGAAAATATCTAATTTCCCGCAATGTTACAACGAACGACGCGTCTGATATAGTGAAGTGGTAACGCAAGGCAGGCAGACCCCAGCAGTTGGAAAAAATTGTGTTGAAGAGAAAGACACATGAGAGAGGGAGACAGAGAAGAAACATCTGAAAATCCGACGTTAATGTCCAACACGATTCGATCGTGTTCTCAGATAACAATAATGCAATTACTGTGAATGGGTTATCTTACTCTTGTACACGAAACAATATCGTTGTAATCGTTCTGTTAGCAAATCGCTTTATCTGTGACACATCGGACAAATTAGCTGTTGTAGGCATCACGAACAGTTCACGAACAACTCGTCGTGCTACCTCAGTGTGGCAGGTTGTAGCAGCTTATGCTACATTCTTCAGATTCTGCTGTTGTGGTGAGTGAGGTGGCCGGGGCCAACGTTTTTAATAGTTGACAATTCATCTGCATCCCATCACGCGGTATAGATGTCTACGGGCGGCTGTAATCACTTAATATCAGGTGAACCGCTGTAACGTTGCATCTAAATGCACCCTTCCATTTTTTAATAATATTTGTAAACAAACAAATTATATCCGTTCGCGTAGCCTGCACGCCATACCGACGGATCCCTAAATTCGGAAGCGTTCGGCGAAATTCGGTGACGCGAACGCTTCCCCGTTTGGGCCAATCGTACGAGACTACGTTTCGCACGTCAGACAGAGCGGTCACTGTGCTGTGTGCTACTGATAAGTAACGACCGACTATTTTTTAAAAAACTCAGAACGGTTAAATCCAATTTAATCCCGCTGGGGATCTCCCTACCCTAATTATTAGCCGAGCGCTGCCGCCCGGATTAATACGGCCGAGCTACCCGATCTACAGAGCCCGAGACCCCAGATACCGACGGCTTCGAAAAATCGGCGTAGAAGAATTCCTGGACGTCTCACCCTACGTCAGGCCAGTGAACCACCACCACACTTAGCTGTTGTGTTCGGAAGTATGACAAATAAAGCTATAAAAGAAACAACACTGAATCCTTGAACCCACCTACCCTACCTTAGAATTTAGCCGATAGGCTACACCGCCTTCTCGCTTGCCAAATTTTCACGGATAAAAAATTGTCTATGTACAGGGGATAGTATTTCCCTCTTAAGAAACCGAAAACTTGTCAATTAAGCTTTACGTACTTTGGAATAAAACTCACAACAATTGCCTAAGTGATATGTATTGTACTTTTTAAGTCTGGTGATAATGTTATGAGATTATCATGATAAAGTTGATGGAAACAATATTTGGCTTCGGCACCTGTGGTCATGGGTTCGATTCCCACACGGGAAAAGTATTTTGTGACGTAAGTTACGGATCTAAGTTAAGGAATGGAACAACCTGCCGGCGTCGGTCTTCCCATCCGATTATAACGTAGGCGTCTTCAAGGCAAGAGTGAATAGGCTTTTACTGAGCTAGCGCGCTTACCATCCACGGCTGCATCGCCACTTACCATCAGGTGGGATGGCAGTCAAGCGCTAGTCAGTTCCATATAAAAGAAAATCTAGGTGTTTGTTCCAGAGGAGAGTCGACGTCATGCAGGCGGGTGGTCGTAAAAAATCTAGCCAATTCCAATAACAATGACATTCACGTGTTTTGCCCCATCTTGGTGAGCATTATAGCGGGAGAATGATGAAGAGTGTCGCTGAAAGTACAGTTCGACGAGTCCCAATATCGACGTTTTATATTAGACGGTGGCAAGCGAGTTGGCGGTTCACCTGATGTAAAGTGACAACCACCGCCATTGACATATTGCGACACCCGTAGCGTTGCAGATGCGTTGCTACCGTGTAATAAAGTGGGCCCGTCTACCTCACTACCGGACAAAACGCAGAAGTATAATTCCCACATCACGCCTGCCTTCTGTGTATCACATCGTAGCTTCGAAAAGACTATAAACAGGCATGCATATGTCTTGATAAAGAAAATTAAGGTACCTCAACGGGAAGAGATTGCTGAAGATGGATAACTAAGGGTTAGGGAAATTAATTACAGATTAATTAACCTATTAGATGATTCGAGTGTGTTAAGCGCAGATAAAACATTAAACAGTTAATTCACCAAAACTTGTTCCATTCGATATGAGACGGATGAGTTTGAAGATTGGGATTTTAATATTCTTCATTCGCTTTTAGTCCTATATCATTGAGGATATGTATTAGGCGGGCGTTACATTGAATTAAATATCTACACTAATTATCTCCGGAATTGATGGAACTGTGATGTCGTATGTTTTCTCATAACCTAACCTACATCCAACAGGATATCCTACACAAAACTGTTATAAAGAGGGAGGAGGTTATGCGGTGGTAGGGCGACGCAGCAGCCTCGGCTGATGCACGAATGGGCAGGCCCGTCCGGGGAAAGTACCACGACCTTACAGAAGACCAGCGTAAAGTGGAAGTATGACAAATACTTTCGCGTTTCGTCTGGTGAGTGAGGTAGCCGGAGCCCAATTTTCAAAAGGTTGTCAACGCATCTGTAGCCCTCGGGTGTGGCAGATGTCCGTGGGCGGCGGTATTCACTTAACATCGGGTGAACCGTCTGCTCGTTTGACAACTTTTCGCATAAAAAAAAAGAAAAGACACTCCTAGTAATAATCATAGAGAATTCAGTTGATGATGATGAAATTTCTTATAGGCTTTGACGTGCGGGTTTGAAAGATGATAAAATAATTTGGAATGAAATCTGAATCATCACGGACTATAGATCGTGGATTATTTTTTCATCACCAACAACGAGATTAATAGATAAAAAGCCGGTCCACTTGAGTTTTCACGCGGCTAATTTAAAGCGGCTTTCGCTTTGTCGGCGCACTTCAAAGGGTGATAGATAGTGTAGGGCGGCCCACGCAAGTTAAGACTTTCAATTTCATATTGTTCATGTGTAAATGGTTTTACCGCCACCAGTTATGTAATTTTATCTTTTTTCATATTTTATTCCGTTTAGAAACATCTTAATGTCAAGTACATTAGGTTTGTAAGAAATTTTAAGTATCAAATACGGTTAAAGGCAATTCGTTGGATAAACAGGACAGATATAACTCTATTGAAAAATCTTAAAAGCACTCAAAGTGACAAAAGCACTAAAAGGAAACTGATTCTAGTTCGTTAGCTTTTTTTTTACTTGTAAACGTTCTTAAACTACATGACTATTATCCAATTTACCGCCTTTTCCCAAAAGTCGTTTTTGGCTTTTGGAAGTTTTTTTTTTAAATTTCAGCCGCAGGTCAACCACGTTCCGCCGGGCGTACCCGTAATCAGAGCCGAATCGTGATTCGATGTGTATCGCCACTCGAAATTCGGATAAGATACCAACTAATTATGAATGTTACACGATAGGAGGACGCGGTATTTTTAGTGTCTCATTTTGACCAGACGTTTTATTGCGAATTTAGGCTTTCGTGTAGTGAAATTGACAGATAACGTATTAGGTTATGATACGTTGATTATACTTCAAAACAATTACGTGGCAGTATTCGAGTATGTTTAGCAGGCAGACCCTGACAATGTCCGAGATGGATGCCAGGTGGAAGAAGAAGATTTGAGCATCGTTAGCTTATTCGGAGTTCCTCTTAAAATCGAAAGTTTCCGAAGGCAAGGAATTAAAATGTTATGGTGAAGCACACATATCTATAAGCATGTCTTTTTATCTTTATTTTTATGGGGTTTTTATCTATAAAGATACGCCAACCCCAATGTAACTTATACAAATTACAACAACTTACAAAATACGGCTCCTTAAAATTTACAAGCATGTCAAAAGCGGTCTTCAGGACTGGATCATATATGCCCTGTTACTTTGTTTACGCGTCGCTACCACAGTCAATTGTCGTACCATTAAACCAACAAATACGGTAATGTGACGGAAGCTTCCTTACCGGACATAGATCCAAGCTCGTGGGGGTGGTGAGAGTTGTTGTTGCTGAGGGTGGTGTTGTTATTGCTCTCGGGGTTGGTGCTACTCCCGCCGCTAGTGTTCGCACTCTGCGATCGAACAAATGGACAGAAGATCAATGAACAGGGTGTCAAAATTATTTGTTTCTTCATCAGTTGTTTAACAGATTACAGATGTATACATAACAAATAAAACGTAAAATAAAAAAAATTACAATTAAAATGTATGTCAATCGCAAAAACAATTAATGTAACAATTTTCAAATTTATTCTTGTAAGATGAATATTTGAAGTAAAGTGAAATGAATTAACATAAAATTCAAATCAAATTAAACTAAATTATGGCATCGGTAGGTGATTAAAAGAAATAATTAAGACTATAAGCATTGACTAATAAAAATGTAAGTACGTGTTATTAAGTCGAATTTAATTACACCTTATAATTTAAAAGTGACCAATCCGTTACGGCTACGAATATAGGTAAAGAACTAGATATAAATACATAGGAGTGTTAGGAAACTACTCTAAGTTACTCCTGTGAATACACAAATATTTATCTTTAGTCATAATGATAAGGAGAGCGTTATTAATAGTAAACTCTATATATTTAAGTGCGTAGAACGCTAAAAATTTAAATGAGATGTAATAATGCAAGATGAAAACTAAAATGTTATGCATAAAGTTTTTTCAAAATCGGCGAATATAAAAAGAATAATTGTAGAAGTAAAAAGAAAACCGGGGTGCCATGCGGGATTAAAAGACATTTCCCGCGGCGGCAAAATCCATAAGTTTGCCACTGCGCCAACCATCGTTGAAACGAAATTGAATTGATAGCAGACCTTTTCTAATACGTCGTGATCCTCTCTGCAGTATAACGCGCCGCCTTCTCTTAACGCGAACTCGTCTCCTGTAAGCAAACGGTTGTAATTCAGCGTTTGATATATCTTTTTTATTCAAGAAGATGGCAAGCGTGAGGTCGTGGTACCCCGGATGGACCCACCAATTTGTGCAACAGCTGAGATGCAGCTGCATGGCTCTACCGCAGTAAAAAGTGATAAACGCCGCCCAAAAAATAATAATAATGGAATTAGTTATTCTGCGCTAACCTGGGCGTGCGTACCCTTTAGTTGAACATCAGAACTACTTTTTTATGTGAGAAGGAGGCAAGCGAGCTGGCGGTTCATCAATTGTTAAGTGATGACCGACGTCCATGGACATTTGCTACATCAGTAGGGTTGCAGATGCATTGTCAATAAAGCGGCCACGGTTTCCCCACTCACTTACAGAAGTAACACTGCCAGTTCAAGTCGGTCTTCTGTGAGGTCATGGTACTTTCCCGGATTCCGGTCCAATTGTACAGCGAAGACTATTTGCGTGGCCCTACTGCAGACTTTTCCGACCAATAGAAACTTTAATCTCGGCTCTATAACAACAACAGGGCCAGGGGAAACTGAAAATCAGCGCTACACAGTCAGCCTTATGCCGTCTGTTGTAGCATAAGCTGAGTTTCCACATTTGCCAAGGAGTTTTACTTTTTTTTTAAATCCCTAAGTAATTTTAATATTTTTGTTCTTTATATAACATTGTTAATATTCTTTTTAAATTCTCTTGTTTTTATTTAGCACTTAAATTTATTGTACAATCTATTTTTTCTTGGCAATAAACGATTATTATTATTATTATTACTTGGACTTGTTGGGCCGGCTCGACTGTAGATTACCGAGACTCAGGGAAGGTCTAGCATAAAGAAGAGGTATTTGTACTACATCTCTTGCCGGAGGAGACTACATCTGTACTACATCTCCTCCGGCAAGAGATGTGATAAGGTGACTTTCTCCTTAACCGTTACCGTCAAATATACTGCTTCCTCCTGCACCACCTTTTATAGTAATGACAAAGAAGATCTTGACACTTCTATATAAGGTGTGGTCGACGTTATGTGTATTTGAACTTTCTTGTAATGAACCTAGTATAAATACACTAACGCTCATTTTGAGTGTCGTTTAGAATCATTAAAAAGATCATTCTGATCAATTCAGAGAGTTTAACCATCCTTTTGGCAACTTAAAAGCCATTTGACAGCTGATTAGTTAATTTAAATTAACTAATCAGCTCAATCAAATTTAAACCGGGCGTAAGTCTATTACAATAGAATTTAACAACATGTGTTTTATTTCCCTCTTCGTTCAGACTAGGTGTATTGCAACGATAGGGGAGTAATAGACTTGAGTTACGTTTCAGATGAAGATGATTTTCGTGATGCTTCTTGTTAGCCACTATACTTGATGATGAAAGGTCTGCCGTGGCCTTGAGAAGTTGACAATCGGAAATATTCAAGTAGTAGTACGAATAACGTTTGATGTTACGTTTTAGGCTATTCTATCTAACAGGATCGTGGGTACAGTACGATTATAAAACGAAGTTATACCAATGTCAATTTTACAGTATCTTTTGACCTTAAATCTGTTTCGATCCACGAGACCATCGTGGATTTTAATAAGATCTTTAGTCTAAAAGAAACATAAAATTAAAAACGAAATATTTATAAAACAAAGAGTATAGAAAGTTGGGAAAAGATCGTTATCGTAATCTGTTTAACTTTAATCTGAAATCGTGATGTGAGCTATAAACAAATACAGACACTGTACTCGTGACTGCAGACTGAATTAAATACGTCCTAAAACATACATAAAAAGCATTACTTTTTAATTATCTACATTGTATGTTTTGTGGCTGATGCCAAGATAATTAAATGAAAGTTAATCGTCGTTAATGTACCATTAACGAGCATGCTAGCTTCAATATGTCGAATACCAAAAATGATGAAGAATGCCAACCACAATGCTATTTATCTGTCCATGTACGGCTATTATCAATTAACATCAGGTGAACTGCTTGTTCACTTCCCATCTTCTTACATAAAAAAAAAACTTAACGTCAATGGAACCGCTTGCTAGCTTGCCATCTTGAATAAACGACAGACAGGTTAACAACTCGCGCATGATTTTATGATTATCTTAAGGAAAAACTTTAACATTGTAAACTTCTCATCGACGGTCACAAATTATGTCAACATTGTAAACGATATTGCCTGTTTAACGTGACATCGCTTAGAAACCGCAATTACTAGTAGTTTAATCACTGGTGCATACAATAGCGTTAAGTACAAAGTATTGCCATGTCTATTTTATGCCTTGCTGTGTCAATGATTAAATGTGGAATTAATTTAACTGTGGTCACCAAACAGCTTCGGCTGTTGCACGAATGGGCAGGTCCGTCCGGGGAAGTACCACAACCTCACAGAAGAACCGGTGAAGTAGAAATGTTATACTTTGCGTTTCATCTGGTGACTGAGAAAGCCGGGGCCCACTTTATTAATAGGTGGCAACGCATCTGCAACCCTACTGGTGCTAATGTCAATGGGCAATTGAGCTAGTATACAACACCATGTAACCCTATGGATATTTGCGTTAGGGAAGTTGCAATGGAGCTTTTAAAAGGTAATACTCCCAAATCTTTTTCGCGCCTGGCACAGTCGAGTAGAGATGGTACTTGCTCACAAATCCAAATATTATATTTAAAGTTTTATAGCGTCGATGCGGTAATGTAAAAGTTTACAAAAATGAATATTTTGTTATATGTGAAGTATTTAAATCTCTATTCAATTCTAAACAAGTCCATCTAAAGCTTTCACAAACAAAATCTACTTCAACATGCAGTTCTGCAGGCAGCCTTTAGAAAACTTGAGAAATTCTTTTATAGATATCTTTAAAAATTCAAGACTAATAGTTATTGTGACATAATATTTCTCATAGTGGAACAACCCCCCACTAGATGGTGTGACGACCTGTGCAAGTGTGCGGCAAGTCGATGGATGCAGGTGGCTCAAGATCGTGCTTCGTGGCAGTCTGTGGGGGAGGCCTATGTTCAGCAGTGGACTCAAACAGGCTTAAATGATGATGATGATGACATCTCAGAGTACTCCCCGTAGGTGTAGACTTCGGGAAGCACATAGGACCTTGAGAGTACCAGCGACTTGCTGCTGTGTCAGTGGCCTCGAGACACTCACCAGGTATCAGCTGCCTCGCGCAAGCGCAGCACCTAAAGCAGTCGATGTGGTATATCTTGGTCTTCGCGCGCATCACGAAGTCGTTCTTGCTGAAGGACGCTCCGCACTTGTCGCATTTTGTCCCGAATAACCTGTCAAAGATTATACAAAGTTATTATTATTTTTTCTTCTTGTTTATTTTAGATAACATTATCCTGTGTTGTAAGGACATTTTACAAACATAAATCTCACGCGACCAAGCACCCAGATGCGAAACAACTATCTTGTTAAGTGTCTGTTGACGTGTTTTTTGATTCAGTGGCGCAGTAGTTTAGCTATTGGCATTGGCGTCGGCGGTCATTGGTTCGATTCCCACGCGGGACAGCTATTTGTTTGACCCAAAAATTATTACTACGGATCTGGGTGTTTGTTTCCAAAGAGAGCTCATATCCGAAAGGCGTACAACTCTCCTTGGAAGTTGCGCGGACGAAAAAAACCTAGCCAACAGTGTTAACATGATTCACAGTTGTGCCGATCCCACAAGAAGGGCAGCAGAAGGGAGAAGAAAAGAGAATTAATAAGTAGAAGTAAATGAATAAAAGCGTTAAAGTTATTAATGGTTTCTTTTCTGTATTATAGCGAACTTACATATGCCAACTCTTAGTGTGTCTACGTACGTCAACTTCGAGTGTTGCAGATGTGTTGCTTTTAATAAAGTGTACACCGGTTATCTCACTCACAGGACGAAAGTATATCACTTTAACATCACGCTGGTCTTCTGTGAGGTCATAGTACTTCCTGGACCTGCCCATTCATACAACTGCGAAAACTGTTGCGTGGCCGTACCAGAGTATAGTAATAAACTAACGAATTAGGGTATGTCTTCACAAACCCATAAAAGTGTGTTTTATACGAATGGCGTTGTATTTTCTTTAAATGTACGTAAAAACCTTTTCGGAATATGGCCCACTGCTAGTCAAAGATCTCTAGGCAGAGGACAGTCGCCAGATTAGAATATTTAGTTTGACATTAATATTTCGATACATTTTTTTATTTCGAAAATATGCCGTTTCCTTCGATATATGTTATTTATTGGCTAAATTTATAATAAAAAAAAATTACGGTAGAGATGTTAATATAAAAAATTTGGGGTAGAAAAAAGCTTGTACACACGGCCAAGTCGGCATGCGAAAATAAATAACTGAATCCCCACTCAATGCAATCCAATGTACTCGTATATCCCCTTCATCGTTTGTTGAAGTTAAACCAATACGTAGATAAGAATTACATTTTTACAGCAATAGTTTTTAATCATTATTCTGGTGATTATTTTAACATGATACAATAAAAAAAAAGATGTTTTTTATTCTTTTTTCTTTATTTGCATTCCACAATGTAGCTTAAGTGGTAAAAACTTGAAATTAAGAATCATCATGTACCCTGTTAGGGCATAGCAATAGTAAAAATAGTTAAAACTTAAATACAATTAGCATTAAATTAATTAGCAAGTTTATATAACTTTTTGAAAAGAAAAGTGTACATGTATACGAAATGTATTGTACGGTGTTGTCATAATATATTGTAAATAACGTAAAAGTAAAAAAGTAGACGATCGGTGTGTTCGTGGAGAAATCATCATCGTTTTCAACAGCGCGAAACGCTATTATGGTCCGCTTATGGGGAAACTGAGGTGCAATTTCATCCGTAACGATGGAAAGTCCATAATGCGGAATATGCGGACAAAGAGCGTTCCGCAGCGAAAAAAGCTCCCCGCCGGTGCCGCGGCTGATATGGACCCCCTACACCTACACAGCCTTTGTATAGGCGATGCTTTTAGCGGTATTGCTGGGGGCGGTTTCATCCCGTTAAGTGCCGGTCAATAACCTCCCCGGGGGTTGTTTCAAAATGTACTTAGAGGTTTAGCCCGCTCCTCGCCGCCCTCCCCGCCCTGATGAGCCTCACGTAACGATGCCCCGCGATCGACTTCGGAAATGAACGCGTGCCGCTTTTCAAATGTTCACCTATTGCACGGTGCAAATAGATGCTAATTTGCATGGGAATAGCTTGACAAAAAGTGTTACACTACAGCTGTGTGTATATACACAGCATACATTATACATTTTTTCCTTTCAGTAGTAATTTACGAACGTATTAAATGTAAATCTATGTGAATAAATATATTTTTGATTTTGATTTTTTCGATTTTCGCGATTCGCCAAAATCCGTCCCAATAGTAAAGGTAAATTAACCATTATTTTTCTAACGAAAAACAAAACAGACTTCAAATATCTCGCTCTGTAATCATTTCATAATTGATTTTCAGGAGTTGCCTAAGTATCTCCGGAGCCCAAGATCCAATACCAATGAAATCAATATGGGCCCACATGGGAACCGCCGGCTTTCAAATAAAAAGAGAATCATCAAAATTTGGTTCACTCAGTGAAAAGTTCTGAGGTAACAAACATAAAAAAATACAGTCGAAGAACCTTCTCCTTTTGAAGTCGGTGGGAGTCGGACTGCTGGGCAAAGGCCTCCGTTGAACAGGGGGTACTAGGGAAATGTGCACCGCGCGATCCCACTGCGGTTTGGATTTACATATGTTCGAAATATAGTAAATACATTTGTTATTATTTCTAAAATATGATAAGTGCTATAGATGAAACTAATTTTACGGATTTATCGCGCTTATTTTTAGTTTTAATTCCCGACGGGTCTCCCCAGACAAGGTACAATTAGCTCCCTCTGCATAGATCGGACACAAAATTAATAATTAAAAAACTGACGGTAGCCCGGGTTAACTATGACAATCCCTCAGTCTGTCTCGTGACCATGAACGCTGTAAAGGGTTCGAAACGTCGGGAATTAAAACTAAAAATTAACGCGATAAATCCGTAAAATTAGTTTCATTTATAATGTGTAATCGCGTAAATACAAGAAATTATTATGATAAGTGCTGTTGTGTAATATTAACAATTTCGAAATCAAACCCGGGGTTCGAACTCGGGTCGAGTATACTAAAAGCGAGCGTCCGGATCAAGAGCTAACACGGCCCCAATAGAGATAATGTATTTTTCTATAATAAACAATAACTTATGATATTCAATATAAATATACTAAAATCACTTTGAGTATTAAATGTGCAAGCATAAAATGAATACGAAGGTTATATCGTGGTTGGTTTTAACGGTTTCAGGTCTGTGCTTTTAGTATTATTAGAACAACAGATTCGTTCAAGCTCTCAACAAATACTGGTGTTTTCCTGTCCGATATATGACGATGTGTTCGCTCGCTTCGATTGATAACAGGTTCGAATCTGTATAACGAAATATATCGATTTATTAATTTCACTAATGTAACCGACTACTAGAAAGCTCCACGTAACCTTTTCAAAGCACCGATTTACCTTCGGATCAATACGTTTATTGTTTGAGATGTTATATTATATAATTTTATATAATATAACATATAATTTTAATATATTATATTATTTTTTATACTCCCGCTTTCTTTGTATCACAATTACTATCACAGATTAAAACTGCCTGAGCACTAGTAACAACAGTGTACGTTCTTTTTCTTTTCTTAGTTTAAAACTTAAATAGATTTGGTACTAAGCAATTTTAAAGATGATAATTTCTTGTATTTATGCGTTTACACATTATAAATTAAAGTAATTTTGACACAAAATTAATAATTCAAAAACGATGCTGATAATGACGATAGCCCGGGAAATATAATTAAAAATAAACGCGATAAATCTGTAAAAATTAGTTTCATTTATAATTTTAAGATGTTGACATGTATGCTTTCACCGCTTGTTGTACTGTTTGCTAAAAAAGATTGAGATTGCTAAAAAATATTGAGATTACTTGAAAATGCATAGCGGATATTTTACCCGTCTTTTGTGCCAGAGGATGTGGGTTCTATCCCCACTACTGGAAAAATATGTGTTAAACATACTAGTAAATTTTTTCTAGTGTCTGGTTGTTTATACATCTATAATATGTATCTATTTATATGAGAAATATATATCAATAAGAAAAAATATTTAAGTACTTTTTTCAGTTATCCTAGCACAAGCTTTTACGGTGGTAGGGCCACGCAGCAGCCTCGGCTGTTGCACGAATGGGCAGGCCCGTCCGGGTAAGTACCACGACCTCACAGAAGACCGGCGTAAAGTGGAAGTATGACAAATACTTTCGCATTTCGTCTGGTGAGTGAGGTAGCCGGAGCCCAATTTTCAAAAGGTTGTCAACGCATCTGTAACCCTCGAGTGTAGCAGATGTCCATGGGCGGCGGTATTCACTTAACATCAGGTGAACCGTCTGCTCGTTTGACAACTTTTCGCATAAAAAAAAAAAAAAAAAAGCTAGCTTAAGTCTCAAACATCTCCTGTATATACAAATATTTTCTTGTTTAAAAAAAATGTAATAAGGGAAAACTAACTTTGAAGTACACCGAATACTATCGTTTAGTTACTTTCTCCAATTTTTCACGTTATAGTTAAGATATAGTCGGGAGATTTTATGTTAAAAAGGTAGCCCAAATGTGTGCGAAGGAATAGCAAAATTTTCTTCTGTTTAGGTTACACGATAATTGTTTCACGGACAGTGAAAGAATCCAAAAGTACAACGATACGTTACGCATCGCCCGCTTTGCCTAACTGCCGGTTTCAATATTCTATCTACTATTTTCTCTTGATAGACTTGCTTACTGAGAATTGAATTTTGACTAAGTATTATTGAGCTAATGTATTCGACATCTAGTGTAGTAACCTATCGCTAGTAAGCAAATCTATCTGCAGATAGAATATTAAAACCGCCCGTAAATCCGCGAAATGTACCCGCAATGGGGGCCCAAGTCAAACACGGGAGATGGCAGCATCCGAGTGACGTCAGCTTACCCGAGACGCGAACACAGCTGAGTAAATAAGGACCACACAGGCGGCTGAGTTGCATCCAAACGTCGGATGGCACTGATGACCCAATTGCGATTTGAACAGCTGACTTGTGGCTACTATCTCCCATCGATTTGCGTAGGTATTTACGAACAGAGAAGGAATATTTTATAGTCTTAAATCGCGACCCGTAGTTAGAATGCTGCGAAGTAAGGGAACGACAGGATTCTCTAGTAATTTAAGCGCGAAAAAATT